GGGGGGGGGGGGGCTCACAAGACAGAGCTATGGAGAGCGATACAACCGGAATTCTCTGTGGATTCTGGTTGTGAGCCCGACAAACCTTGTAGAGCAGGGCATCTGCCAAATCATTGAGACCGATTTGTGGGTGTAGAGAAGGTCCGTCGCGTGAGCGACGTGCTGCCACCGAGTACTCGCCCCCATGGCCCACTTTGAGCGTGGTTTCGTAGTGTGCCTTGGTCTTGGTCGCCTTGGCGGGCACTTCGATGCGCCAGGGTTCCATTACCCGTACCTATGGAGACATCAGAGCCAGGAGTATGACAGTTTAGATCCCATGCTGCTGCCCATGGAGCTGGGCTGCTTAGCCTTTGAGCCAACAGTACTTGCAACATGTCTCGGTGACACATTGCACCCACCTTCATCGTTGGGAGAAAGGCCTCGAGGAACCGGCTCACAAAGTCCAAGTCGAGCTGCTCAAGCTCAGTGGGCTGGCGCTCATCTATGATTGGCTGTTGTCGGCGTCATCCATCAGAGTGAGAGTTGATGAGGAGAAGGTGACTGGCCGTCGAGCAGCCCCAGGAGAGCCCCAGAATGGCGTGAACTACATGATGCTCTGTGACCTGACCAAGAACTGACCTGCAGGTAGATGATTGACCGTCTTGGCGTTGGACAGTAGCTGCGCAAGAGTTTTGGACGATCTTGACAAAATTCCTGCAAGGATTGGCCCTCCTCCCCATATGTGCGAAATGGTGCGTGGGAGTTGAGACGGTCGGTATCCTGTGCTTGGATGGTGGCGCAAAGTCGATGTGGCAGCACCTCCTCTACAGAGTTGCAGTGGCGCAGCCGGCGACCCAATGGATTGGCACTGGTGGTCGACGGCAGAGAGGAGTTGGACGAGGATGAAGACGCCTGGCGCCCTCGAAGGAGGCGCCGTGCCCGCTTGGCCGGAGGGGGCGACCGGCTCGCCGCTGTGCTCATGCCTTATTATTGGCGCAAGCAGGAATGGCTCCCAACGACAAGACGACGGAGCTTTGCAATGTCTGACACTTGAGGTGCAGAGCGGTTACGGGGCTGTGCAGCGGTTGCTTGACACGGCCCAAAAACAGGGGCACGACCATCAACAAGCAGACTGCTTCGCAATTCTTGCTGGCCCGCTCGCGCCTCGGGCTGGAGGCGATGGTGACAATAGTGAAGGTCCCCCCCCCCGACCCGAGCTGGAAGCAGCACCAACGGTCGATGTTGATATCGCCAAAAGACCCTCAGGGGCATGAGCAAGCTTTCATGAACGACCACGAAGCAGGCGACGAGAAAAGTTGAAAACGCATGTTGCATTTGTGTGTGTGGTTGAGTTCTTCTGACATATTGGGGGGCATTGGGAATTGTCAGCACCGATGATCAGGTTGTTGTAGCAAGCTTTTTACTTATTGCTGAGTCGTTAGAGCTGTTCGTCTTAGTTTTTCACGCAAGTATCCAAGTTGTTGTTGTTGTTGCCTGTAAAATCTGACAATTGCTTTGTTGTCAAGATCACGATTGGGCAGTTTTTTGATTTTTTATTTTTTTTGGTCTTTTGAGCATGGCAGGAGGTGGGTGGCTCACGGCCGTGGTGGCGGTCTAGGGATGGGAGCAGCAGGGTGAATGGTTTGAGGGTGTTGGGAGTTTGGAATTGGTATGGTCATGTGGAGAAGGCGGAGAGGGGGTGGAAACACATGGCATGCCGGATGGTATCAAAAGGACACTGAGTTCTTTGCCTACCTTTCTCATGTCTCATGCATCGGATTTGTTTTGCTCGACTCGAATGGGTTTTGACAGGTATGCGGGAGCTGGGATTACATCGCCGAGCCAATTGCCATTGAGGAGAAACTCAAGCCCACAGCCCGTCCCACGGCTGATCTGGCCAGGGCTCGACGAGGGTCATGGCCATCCACCTGCCAGATACGAATGGCTTTGAAACCAAACTCGACGCCTTGGCAGCCCAGTTGCAGCGTACGTTGTCACCGAAACAAGCTTGAATTTGGCCGAGAAATAAACGTGATAGCTGCTGCGGCAAACTCACGCGCCATCACCATGCTTAAACGCGTGTGCAGCTTTTGCTTCCGAAAGCCATGTCACGCGACGAGCGGCGAACGTAAACACCTACGGCGAGGTAGACACGATGGCACATTCCTTTTTTGCTCTCATGACCCCTACGTCCTCACCCTTGTCATCTCGCTGCGGCTCATTCGACTTTGAACTTGAACCAACAAATGCAGGGTGATGATGGCGTCGCCGAAGCAGCCTGGGCTCGCGCCGTGGCCAGAGATATCCCCCCGACGCCCACCATCCAAGCATTGGACAGCTGCGTTGTCACTCGGTGCGGCGAGCTGCATGGGGCTCACAACTTGTACTTGTGTTTGTTTGTTTTTTTTGTTGTACATTGCTCTGTTTATTTTGTGTTTCGTGCGTACCTACTCCGAGGCATGGTTTCGGGCTCTAAGAGCATCCTATGTTGTAAACAGGGTATCGGTAGGCTTGACTATGCCAGCCGCGCCGCGGCGTCAGGCCAGCGGCGACTCAGACGCCGAGGGCTCACGCTCCTCCAGTCGGCAGCCCTCGGCTAGAAGCGTTGACCCTGCTGCCCAGACCAACGAACACGTGCGCGGGGCTCATTTTGTAGAGGTCGGTCTAGCATGCCACTTCGCTACCATCTGTCGGTACGATGGCTCCGCCGTCATTGCGCCCTGACCAGCCAACGTACAAACCGGGGCCTTGCTTGTAGACTGTGGAGATATCGAGTGTGGCGCATGTTTTGGCCGCCGGACAGCTTCCCCACCACGTCCCGCTCAGAACGGTCATTGACAAGGGCTTCCAGCTGGGTATGAGCGAGATGGCCTGCCTCCAGCTGTCATGCCATGCAAGCACTTGAACTGACCATTGTGGTGTGCACTTGTAGGTCGTGTGGTCTCTGCCGCGCAGGGCCGATGGATCATGGACTCTTCACTTGAAGACATGGTTCTTGCTGCCTTTTGGTGGGCCTTGCTGCGTCGCTGGCCGCGCGGGCGAGACCACTCCAGCTCCCTTGTAAGCCTTGATCTCAACACAAGCCTCTGAGCGTGCTCCTTGTTTTGCCACGAATGCACCCTGACCTCTTGCTTGGCCTTGTAGGACAAGTTGTACTCTGCGTGGGCACAAGGCTATCAGCATCTGTGGCGAGCCATTCATCATGACGTAACATCGGCTCCCAAGGTGAGTGCATGCCCCTGCACAGGTCCCTTCCTGTTCCCTCCTCGGTCATAAGAAGGGCCACGTCTGAGTTTGACGACACAGTTCAGGGCCTCACTGCCCTCTTTTCCCGCTCCGTTTGGCGATCTTCTTTGGCTTGTATTACCCGATTGCCACCTGCCAATCCTTCAGCATCTCCAACGAGGCCTCATTGCTGACCAGCGTGCCTTTCTGACAACATTGCCTACTGCTTTTGTACGAGCTGTTTATTGGTACGTGTTCTCGTCATTCACACGAAAGTTTCGCTTCCTCGTTTTGACCTGGCCACCCACCCCCCGCACGTGTACTGAATGGTCGCCTCATTTCAGCTGTCGTTTATTGCGATAGTGCGTTTGCGACTTGCTTCCCAGGCTCAGCTGGTGAGTTCAATGAGGCCTTCAAGCGCGACCTTACGTGTCAGTTGACCCAAAAATTGACGGGCATCTATCCTTCGCCCACGGCCTGGCGCAACTGCCACCTCGATGACCTGGAGCCGCCAGCTTTGCTTGCGGTCGGTGGCCGTCGACGCTTGATCCCAGTAGCTGCCAACCATCACTTGCTCTCGCTTGCAAAAAACTTTTTGCCCCTGCCGTTGTCGTTCTGGCTCCAAGGCTAGACCAACCTGTGCTTTCCCGAGCAAACTCACACAAACGCCATCGCTTTGTCCTGCAAATGGTCCACTTGTCTCATAGCTGCGTCGAGAGCGTCCGCCGACATCCGATCCCGTTGCCAACCTTGTGCCGGCCAGCCGGGACAGCAAACCAACCGACTGCCTTGCTTTGCGAGCATGTTCGCCCCTTTTGCAGCACGGCAGTCAACTGGCAACAGCCGCTCCCGTCGGTGGTCGTGACCTATTGGCCCCTTACAAAACCCCTGCTCTGTATCGCCACACCCTTCATCCGACGCCTCGATGACGGTCTCACCGGTCAAGGACTTTAAGTAGCCTGATGCTGAACGCCCATACTTGTAATTTAACCCCGACACCGAACCTCAAGCCAACACTTCATATTCCCATTTACGCACCATGTCATTTGGTGCTGTGCAACTGGTTGCCGTTCTCCTCTTTTTTTTTTATGTTTTCTTTCTCAACTCTTTCAATCCTCTCTCTCTCTCTCTCTCTCTCTCTCTCTCTCTCTCTCTCTCTCTCTCTCTCTCTCTCTCTCTCTCTCTCTCTCTCTCTCTCTCTCTCATCAAACTTCAACTCTCTCTCTCTCTCTCTCTCTCTCTCTCTCACATCATGAACGGATTTGGTGGCGGCGGGTTTGGCAACGGTGCCGCCGCGGGGGGCGGCTTTGGCATGGGTGCGGGTGGTTTTGGTGGTGGCGGGTTTGGTGGTGAACTTGGCCGCGAAGTCAACGTGCCTGTCAGTATGATGGGTCACATCATTGGCAAGGTGCGCGGTTGATCCAGTCTGAGAGCGCTCAAGGGCCTCGTCGTCTCTCGCTCCAGCTCGTCTGTGGCATGCCATACACATGACTGTACTCTGTTGTAGGGCGGCGCCACTCGCAAGGCGCTTGAGGCCAAATATGGCTGCAAAATTGTCACCCCACCCAAGCAGGAGCAGCAAGGACCCGTTGCAATTGTGACCATCACAGGTGCGCGGGCGTCGCTGGCGTAGGCTGGCTGAGCCTCGAACACCGCTTGGTCCCGACTCGAGCCGTGATCCATGACCGTTTGCTGCACCTTCTTCGTTCAGGTGGTGACGCTGGTGGCGCTGCTGAAGAGATTGCCTCCATCATGTCAAACGTCAGCACTCGGATGGGTAGGTTGGCCCAGACCCTTGGCTTCGTGTTTCGTTGTGAACAGGAAAATCAAGCCTCCCCCCAAAGGTATGCGCATGATGTTGGATGTTGTTTTGACGCCGCTTGCTTGCACAACGTGCCCTCCTGTAGAACAAGGTCAAGGGCTTCAGGGAGATCGCCGTGGTCTTGCCTTCATGTTTCGAGTGGGCGACAAGCAAGAACTTCAGCTACTCATGGAAAAGCGCCCTGGGTCAGGCCATCATCACCAAGAGTGACCCACCCGATGCATTAACTGGCTCGCTTTTGCGCCCATGGTGTGCCTCTTGATCTTTGAAGCTCTACCCTCTCCCATACGCTCATTCTTGCTTTTGGATTGGGCCACAACACGTGTACAGTGTGAACCGATGGAGTGTGCCTCAAGGCCATCTGGGGGCCCCGGGAGATGATGCGGACGACACAAAGGAAGGCATGCGCCGCATTCTACTTGCAAGTTGTGGTGGCGGCAATCCAGCGCCACCACTGCATGAGCTTCACTTCTTCAACCCAATTCGTCTCAGCAAGTTAGTATGCCATGAGATGAGTTGCACGCCAATGTGTGCACTCCCTGGGCTGTCGCATGGGCCTCAAATTTGTATTTCGTGTCATGTCTTTGTGCCATGCCTTGCAGCAAAGTTTTGCACATGATTGCTGTCGACCCTCGCTGGGGCAATTGGTACCCTATTCCCACCGATCCGCAACTCGTACGTACCACACTAGGCCCTCGTCCCTGGTTTCACTGACCACACTGCGCAAAAATGATGGCCGTGAACTCACGCTTGTGCTCTCGCTTGTGTCGGCGCTTGTTGCTGCTGCTGCTGTTCTTGTTGTTTGTTTGCTTGCTTTGATGTTTGTCTGTTTGTTCTTCTTTCTCCTGTCAACTCTGTGTCCCATCCCCACAGGTGGACTTTAGTGCCAACGTTTGCACAATCAACGGCGCTAACTACCAAGCTTCACAGGGACATGCATGGGTGGATGCGGGTCAGCTCATGGCTGCTGGTTCAAATGTCGAGGACCGTGATGTGGCCACATGGTTTCAGCACAACAAAGACGGCATGTTGCGTGAGGTATGCCCAGCATGCTCAAGCGCATCTTAACCTTGACGAACCTTTTGTTGATTGCTGAGGGAGATGCACGTTGCCACAGATTCTCGAAACCTTTAAGCAAGCAGGGCAGGAGCCCAAGTTGAGCACGTATGTGGGCAAATCTTAAAGTTAAAGGGCCCTTTTTTTGGCTCTGAATGCTCTCCCCTGCTTGCACTTATTTCCCCTCCAAACTTGGTGTGATATCTTAGGGGGGCCAAGGCTGTGGATCCCAGTTGGGTTGGCACGCCCAAGGGGCAGCAGGTACGTCTCGCCAGCCTTGTTGAACCCGCTGCTCATGCCGTAGCTCATGCCCTTGCCCCTGCCCTGACAGGTGTTGCACAATCTTAAATTTGTTACCGACTTTCTGGCCCAGACGGACGCCGATACGGTAAGTTTTTGAACTCCAGCGCCCTGTCCAGTCACGTCTGTTGGTGACGCAGATGGCTGGACTCACGCAGGACCTTTGATCTTGTCGACGCATTTTTTTCTAGTTTTCCAAGGTGGCTGGTGCGTGCTTTGACCCTTCGGCATTAGCTGATGTGTTTAGTCGATGGGAAGCCAACTCAGGCCCCGCCCTACCAATCCCGACCAGCACCATGTAAACGTTGTGCATCTACTTCGCGTGTGCAACCTTGTTGAATGTCACCTTGGATGCGTGCTCTTCCTACTCGAGGGACCCTACACTCACTGAATACCTCTTCACCGTCTTTTGTACATTTCGAATCTCTCTGTATCCCAAATTCATTCCCAATGGCCCATACGCTTCCGCACCACCCTTTCCTCCTTCATGATGCTCAGCCCGCTTGCTGTCACCACGACTATTGTTGTTCAAACGTTCGCCCCAGCCCCAACCCCCTTCTACCATCATCAAGTGGAACGGCCACCCCTGGTCTTTCAAGTGACATGCCATGAATTCACCCTCACACAGACACAGACACAGACACAGACACACACACACACACACACACACACACACACACAAAGGTGACAATAAATTTTTTGACCGTTTTTTTTTTTTTTTGATTCTTTTGATGAGACAGGCCTTCAACTGGCGACAAGAGGAGGCAAGACCACAGCGCCTCAGCCTCAGTGTGCACGAATTGCATTTGGTTGGCTTAGCAGCATAGGTCATGGCTGCGCCGGCTCTTGCTGAGGTTCAGTCGCAAGCGAGAGTGCATCGGCAGTTTGCAGCCTTGCCAGAACCGGTGCAACGAGCAACGGCGACATGGGTGCCCAGCGCAAGACCCAGTCGTGCCTCAGACGGCGTGCTTGCCCTCTCGCAGCGGCTAAGCATTGCACTGAGACAGCAGCGACCTGCCAAGCGGCAAGTGTGTGCTACTGCCTATCGCCATTTCCTTGATCCCGATCATGCCCACGCATGGGAGCAGCATTTGCAGCGCTTTGGTCTCAAACCACACGACACCAATGATGACGCCGTGGTGGCTGCAGCCCAGTATCAGATCCTTGAACTTCTGTTGGCACACAGGTTGGTTATTGGAAACCCAATCCCGCCCTGCTATTTTATTTTATTTTTCAAACACACTCCCTCCTTCCCTCCACCTACTCAACCCTTGAAGCATGCTCTTTCCTCAGCAAGCTCACTTCTCTCCCCCCTGTTTGCTCGCAAAAAACTACCTTTGGCCCTGCACCATCTCCTAGCCTGGCCTCCAACATGACGTCCCTGGCAGAGGCGTTGCCCGCTGCTGAGCGGTGGTGTGGTGAGATCCCGTGACTTTTGCACTCATCTTCAATCATCCCTTCATCATCAGACTCAAAAGTGTCCAAACTGAACTGTTCCACACTCACACGACAACTTGTCTTGTGTTCGACCCCTTGCACGGGCATGATCGTGAATGCTGCTGCAGCGATGCGTGAGGTATCCGCGACCACCAAAATGGCAGCGATCGCCTTACTTGTGCGCCTGCAACGGCCACAGGGCACGATTCGCCGACGTCTGGGCTTGCCTGCCCCGATCCATGCCGACCCGTGGCAAAATAAAACAGCCGCGCTTCCATCTCTGCTCAACAACGCAACTCGATTACAACATGCTCTCGTCGACAATACCTTGGCCCCGCCAATTGTCGAGCGCAACGCTCTGTTGACAACACGTGAGTCGCCGCAGTCGGGCTGATTGTTCTTTTTGCCATTTCTGGATACTTACTTGGATCGTGACTCATGATTGTGCTTTTGTATAGAGCCACTGCAATCACATGGCCCTTCTGGGTATCGTGAAGTCACTGAAATATTGCGAATGTTTGAAGAAAAACCAAACATCGTTGTGGGCTACGGCTTGGCTCAGGCTTCACATTCGTCCTCAGACAAGTTACACCACGAACCACTGGGCGCCGTCACGGCCATCTCAACCTGTCAGCCTGTCGAGATCAACTCAACAAGCACTTGCTCCCGAGTCTCACTGCCAATTTCCTCCAAGCCTCAACCCAACCTGGGCTTTGCTAGCGAGGCCGGACCAGCCGTAAGTGAAGCCATGCAAGCCATGACATGGCTCCAAGATCAGCTTGCGCTGCGTGGGGCCTCAAAGCACCTGTTGCCCCAAGCTTTGACACCAAATGAGGTTCGTTTTGACGCGCTATACTGCGACGCAGTGTCGTCGATACTACAAACCTTGAGCTTGGTCTCCCACACGCATGAGCAAACCCGCACCCCCCACAACTCATCATGAAAAATCATGGCCGGGATTACTGGCACTGAACCACTCAACTCGAAGGTGTGCCGACACGCGGTATTGCTGTTCACTGGCGCCGCAAACGAAGCCATGGCCTTGGCTGGCCACCCTCGCCTGCCAGAACACTCTGTTGGTGCCACGCGTGCCATGCTCCAAAAGTTTGCTGAGGCTGGTCGCGTCTGGCAAGCCCTGCAGGTGCGCGCGTGCTTTTGCGCATACAAACTTGCCGTCCACTCAAGGATGGATCTGAACGAACACTTGCTCGTGCTTTTACTTGACTTAGGAATTTGTCGATGACGCGCGCAATGGCACTAGCCGCCGTCGCCTCCAGTGCAGTGTCCAAGTCTACCTACAAGCCTGCATGACAACTGTACGCCTGCATAGCTGTGCCATTGTATGGACAAGGATGCTGACTCGAACGTCGTTCTTCATACGCTGTGCTTGCTCCGCTTGGGCCACCCCTCTACTTTTTTTTTTCTTTTCTTTTTCTTTTTTTTTTTTTTTTTTTTTTTTTTTCTGCATTGCGATATTGCAATGCTCTAGGTGGCTAGTGCAGCCGCAGTCTCCACTTTGCTTCGCCTATGGCACACACTTGCTCCTATGGCTCGCCAACAGCGCCAGCTCTTTCGCATCTTGCAACAGGTATCTTCAATGTGTCTGCATACGCACTCAATACGGAAGATGCAACACCGAGCATTCACACCTAAGATTTGCACGAACTCTCATGATGACGGGCCCTTGTGCTTGATGCGTGAAGATCGAGGCTCAACCGTTGTCCCAAGTCATGGGGACGCTGTTTCAATCTGCACGTGGTCTACAAGAATCAACAACCCCGGTAGTGGCTGCGATGCTCCAGGTTGGTACAGGTTGTGACTGTTCTGGTGCACGATCGGCCTCCATGCAACTTTGGCGTGTCTCTCTGGCTCTCTGGCTCTCTGGCTCTCTGGCTCTCTGGCTCTCTGGCTCTCTGGCTCTCTGGCTCTCTGTGAATACAAATACCATTCTTGGCCCTCACACGCACATCGCTCTGGCCTTTGTTGCTAGAAATCGCTCAATCCTTTCCTTGAGCTGTGCGGAGATTTTGCATTTGTCGGACGCTACAACATTGAACTCGAGCACCTGGGTCTAGAGTTGGACCCCCGCCATGCCCATGTCACGGATCCAAGGTTTTGGCAACAAGGCTTCAAATTACGTCCGGAAGCACCGCAATGGCCCGTCTCAGAGGTGTGGCCTGACCTTTTTTCATATTGAGGGAGCATGAAAATTCGTGCCTAAGCACGATTGTGATTGCCGCCTTGACTCAGTATCGTTCGTTGCCTTTTGTTTTTGCTTTTATTGCTTTTCTTCTTCTTCTTCTTCCTTTATCAGGTGCTGCAGTTAAGCCTGGCTGCCGGCAAGGGCATGCAGCTGCTCAAACAGTGTCTCAAGGGTTCGCGCCTCTTTGTCACCATGGAAGCCCTTCGACCTGCTACCACCCTGACCCGTACCACCCAGGTTTGCCGCGCCCTATCCAGCCTGTCGCGCAACATCCTGCATATGAACTGGATCTGAACTTGCGCATGGGCACAAGCTTACAACGAATGTATTTCGACCTGCATGGACTGGCAGGGGATCGAGGAGCGTATGGTGGCGGTCGAGCAGTACGTCACGGGCGTACGCCAGCACATGGAACGTGAAGAGACGAGGTAACGTTGAGCCATTGGAACAGAAGGCTCCAAACTGCAGACCAGTACGCAACGTCGTGCTCATGTGTTCACGGGCATCACATGGGCCTATGCTGTGTTTGTGTGCAGGCAGCAACTGATTCAAAATCAAAAAGAGCAGCAAGCCCTGCAAGACCATCTGGCGCGAGTGCGAACCGCGCAGGAAAACTTGCGTGTTCGCATGGGCTATCAAGAGGCCGCACTCGAGAGGGCGCGTTCTCGCCGCCAAGCCGCTCGGCAGGTTGCACTCGAGGTAAGACAAGCTGCATGCACTAACCATCCCAGTGTCATCCGGGCCACAGCACCTTCACCTTTTTATGTCTCCTGAACACTCCTACAGGGTGAGCAAATGGCCGAAGCAGCGCGGCAGGAGCGGGAGGCTGAGCGTGAAGCAGAACTGGACCGCGAACTTCGGGAGCAACAAGCCCAGCAGCTACGTCTGGCAGAAGCTGAGACTGAGTTGCGACGTGAATATGCGGAGCGTGCACATAAATTGGATGAGCAGACCCGCCGCATAGCCTGGTCAACGGAGCGTGCCAAGCACCGTGAACGACTTCATCAACTGCTGACCACAGAAGCAGCTGAGAACCGTGCCAAATTGTTGGCCCATACACCATCTGCCATCACAACCATTGATGATGAGCGATTGGTGTCAGCGCCAGCTGATATGGCTGCCAGTGTCGCTGATGAGCCGAAAGCTGAAGACTTACCCTCGACTTTTATCGAGTCAACGACACCCGAACCGCTGGCTTCTTCAAGCCCAAATGAGCTTGTTTCGGCGCTAGAGACATCGGCAATGGGTGGCAAGGACGTGCTCGACGTATCAAATGGGGACAAATCAATAGTGGCGGCTGGTATGGCAAGTGACCATGATGACATCATTGCTCGAGCCAAAGCGCGAGCAACCCGACGCGCCGCTGCTCCGTACGCTCGTGATAACACAGATCTAGCCAGTCTTCGAGAACGACTCGAGCGTGTACGGCGGCGACAGGAAAACGAAGGTCAGCGCATGCAGGACCTGCTTCAACCTGCGCACACAGACGTCCACGGACTTCCACAAGCTGCATCTACTCACGACACCGAAGATGAAAGTGATCAACACCTTGCTGAGGTTGATGAGACAGACTTGGCTGAGCCGGCGGCTGCTGCTGCAGCGGCGACGGCGGCGAAACAGCCTCGTCAGCGGCCCACATGGGCTCCGGTCCCAGGTGTTGTGGACAATTTGGCACGCCTTCCTGTGGAAAGTGATGCTGGTGGCTCCAGCCATGTGAGACGTAGCAGCTCACTGACCGGAGCTCTTGCCCAAGATCAGAACTCTGCGAGTCAACCATCGGACGCTGTGGCCGGCGTTGTTTGCGATGTTTGGGAGCTGCAACACAATTGCCGTGCTACCCGTGCGCACCACGATGATCTCGTAATTGCCGCGCGCAAGAGTGCGGCCAGCTACGCTCGCACCGTGCCACTGGGACCTGAAGATGAAAGATCCAACGTTGCGCAAGAGGATATGGTTACCGCAGCTGAAACCCCGCTCAGCCAAAGTCCATCGCCCACAGCAGGTGGTCCGTCCGACCGAGCCGCGAATACACACGCTGTGACCAATCACCACTCACTTCAGGCCCTGGGGCAGCGGATGCAGCAACCTCCGTCTCGGTTGGCTACGGGTGCAGGTTCCATCCTCCGTTCGCCCGATGACGCTGCATCCGCAAGCGCGCGCACACCTGATTCAGCCCCGGTGCCGCTGGAAGAGGCCTTCAATCTTGCCGTCCTGGGACCGCTGCGCGCTCAATGCCAGATCGTTCAAGCCGCCATCATGGCGTACTTGCGTGACGATCTGGGCCTGGCTGCACACATGGAAGCCTTACACCGGATGGTTCTCCATGGTGATGGTGATTTTTCGCACGCCTTTGGCTTGGCCCTGAATCAAGCTCCGAGCCCCGCCACGCCGCGCGCGCCCGTGGAAGCGGTGCCCATGACAACAGTTCTTGCTTTTTCGCGTTCCAAATCCACTGCCACTGCGGTATGTCCGTACTTGTTGCTATGTCATTCACGGCCCGAGCGCTGGAACGCGACCCGTGCGTTTCGGCTCATGGCATGTTTGTGCCCTCACTGCACATCTTAGGCCTCTCTACCCATGATGCATCACGTGACGCTTTGTGAGGCAAGGCTTTCACCCAAAGCTGTTCATCTCGGCTTGACCTATGATGCGCCTTGGCCACTCTCGGTAGCCTGGAACGGTGGTTTCATGACCAGTGTGAATCGCGTACGTAAACAGGATCTGGAGCTTATCATGGCTCATTGCACCAACCCAAGTTGACACGCAATTCCCCATGTGGTGTGCATCGGTGCGTAGGTATCAGCCTTGCTCTTACAGCTGCGAAGGGTTCTCTTGCGTTTGGATGCCGTTTGGCTGGCCAGCAAGGTATGTGATTCACCACGAGAGTTATCTTTCTCTCAAATCTCTCAAATTTCTCGAATCTCTCTTGAATCTCTTTGAATCTCTTGAATCTCTCGAATTTCTCAAATCTCTCTCGCTCACTCTTATTTGGGCTACGGACTTACGCTCGCCTTTGATGGTGCTGGCTCGCTTCCAGTTTGCGGGTCGGCAAGCGCCACGACATGCCGAGCAACGTTGGCGACGAGTGGAACTATTTCGCAGTGGCATGCATCATTTTGTTTCGGTCATGTTCAATTACTTTACGCAGCAGGTTTGTAGCAACCGCGATGCCACCGAAACAGCCCCCGACCGAGATGGTGCTGCCCTCAATTCTTGACAATTGGGTGTCATTGATTTAGGTGCTGGCGGCAGCATGGCAGGAGTATGTGCAGCAAGTGGAGCGTGCCAAGTCACTGGACGAGCTTTGTCAACACACCGCAGGCTTTGCCAAGCTATTGCTGCGGCGGTTCGTTGGCGGTAGAAACAGCCTTTCTTGAGCGCAAAGAAAACACGGAACTCACACCTTTTCTCGTGTCCTGGGATATACAACTGTGACGCTTGCTCCCTTAGGACTCTGTTGCATCGCAAGGCGGAGCAGGTGATGAACATCTTGCAAGAAATGCTGCATCACGTGGAGGGGTTTTGCCATGAGGTGTGTCGCTCTTTGCACCAGAGGCCAAGTCTATCAAATAGAAGGACTGCTTGTGCTTACAGTTCGCACAACAAATTTTCTTCCTCTGACAGCTGGCTGAGAATCCAACCGTGTGGGTGGATGCCGAGGGCTTGGCTGCCTTGCGACAGCGCCATGATGCCTTTGCCACCTGTGCCCGCTTTCTTTTCAAAGGTATAAATGTTTCGGAGTCGAATGCAGCCTGTCATCCATCTGCTTTGCTCAACCGCTTTGCATGTCGTCATATTGGTGTTAGTGGCCACCAAATTGGAAGCGGGTGGATATCGCGGCGACCTTGGTAGTTTGCTATTGTTGCTCAACTACAATGGTCGCTTTGAGTCGTACTTCTCGCCGACGCGCCTGGTGTAAGCAAATAGTCAAAGTTCCACTCTTAAATATTCGATCCGTGTTGGGGGTAGACAGAAAGACTCATTCCACCTCTCTGTATTTTTTTTTTCTTGCTTGGTGTTGTTTTCTCCTAGCACAAGTGATGGCTAAACGAGACTTAATGACGGGCTGGGCCCGCAAAATTGATGCTTTTGTTTGGTTGGCTGTTTGGTTGTGCTCGATTGTCCGAGGCAGTGGCTGTTTATGGTAGAGCCACCAACCATTTGATTTCGCTTCGCTTTGCTAAAGATTGAGCACATGCGCCGGCACAGCCGGTCGTCCCATTTTGCCTTTGCTCGACTGTGTTCATCCAGTGCACACTAGCTAGAATACTCGATATCGGAAAACTCTGTGAAAGTCCATTGCTGTTTGGCAGACTTGCTGCAGCTCACCAGGCCGACCTCTGAGTTTGACTACGTCATCCAAAGTGACAGGTAATGAAGAAGATACCGGGATATGAGGAAGTTGCGCAACGTAAACGCATTTTGTTATGCAAGCAAGTATCCAATGAAAATTGAAACGCGAGGACTGAGCGGCAAACACCTACTGTGCCATTGTTCGCAATCATGCCAATGCAGCGGTTTGTAGCTGGATGATATACTTGACCCGTTTGCAAATGTTTCCACTCGAGCCAGCCCAAATCTAGAGCAAAGCCTGTTCAGAAGTGGCGCAAGTACTACAAAGATGGGCTTGGCTTGAGCAACAGTTGCTACGTACGCCCGTTCTCGTTGCAGTTGTCAAGCACAATCTTCGTGGCCGTGCTGCTCTCTGGAACCAAGCAGCTGCGGCAAACACACAGAGTTGAGCCCAGTTCTGGGGTGGAATTTGTTATGAGCTGTTTCAAATTAGTACAAGAGTGGTCTCCTACCGATCTCCATACAGGAGCAACTTGCGCAATTGACGAACGGGTTGGCGCGAAAAAAAGAATTGATTGGCCTCCGTTCTTGGAGGATGCTCACCACAAGCCCTGGAGCACAGGTGCGACCACAGAACCCGCAAACCGTGACATCATGCGGTGCGCCTTCGCCAAATGGAGAATCACCATGAGCATGCACACGCACCGCATCTTGACATCCCGCACGCTGTCATAGTTGGTGGTCGTGAGAACAAGGCACTCGCCACTCGACGGATTCCTGCCGCATGTGGCGATAATCAAAAATGCCTGCATAAGATCGAGTCAACTGCGTCGTGCGATAAGCGAGCTCGTACCGAAGGGCGCCGCGTGCCCAGAGATGATCACGTGTTGGCACAAACATGTCAGGATATGCCTTGTGCAGGAAACTGACGGGACGCATCGGCAGAGAGATGAGAACTTATCGTAAGGCGAGTCGCGACAAGACTCACGGAGGATACGGGTGCGGTGGAAAAGCTCGTACTCTGAAAATGTGCCACAACGCAGTTGCTCGCGGAGTTCAAGACGATCAGATATGTCTCCAGGATCTACATTTGCGTTTGGTACCATGCTAAAAACAAGGGGTGCTGGTGAGGTGATGTGAAACCCCGATCGAGAGATGAGTAAAGGGAGACGCACTCGTAATAGATATCTGCATACTCGTCCATCCACACGCGCGCCACTCGGTTCAGATTGCTACAAGTGGTGATGACAAGAGTACACGTCGCATCAAGGTAACGGGTGAGGCCCTTCTGTGAGTCAAAGCAACTTGGTGCACAAGTTGATGCGCTTGACACGTCCGTGACGAGTAGTAACTAATGCCAATCATGCAGAGCAGTACAAACCGTAAAATTGTCCGGCCAGGGTTGTCATCGGAGAATTTGACCGGATTGCGATCGCGAAACACGTGGCCCACGCGCGAGCATGGAATGTTCTCGATACGCCCACCACACATCCAAGCACGGAAGGACATCTCAAGGTTTTCACCACCCCAGGTATTCTGACCCAGGTCGTAACTGCCGAGCTGAAAAAAATATTCCTGTTGGCTCACAGAAGACGAAAGCGAAGACATGGGTGTATCAGAAAAGGGGTGGTTGGCTGTTGGGGGCGTGGCGCACTCCCACCTTGCGCATGGCAAAGAGACCGCCGGCCATGGTGGGTGATGGAATCTATGGCAAGCAATTGCATGCAGGCGCCAGAGAGAGCAAGAATTGGTGAGAGTCGAAAAGAAGATGGGAATGTGAGAATGCTGGAGAGCCTGATTTATCTCAAACATACCGGAGCCACGCTGGACGGTCGTGCGGCTTGTTGCTGCTCGGTCAGCCTGTGCACGAACCAACGAAACCATAATGAATGCCAAGCGCCCCGTACTGAGAAAGTGAGCAAAGCGGTGACAGGACGTACTCGCTCCATGAAAACTGCATGAACCAGGTAAAGACACCAATTTGGGTTGTGGCGGAAACCGGGACATAGGAGAAGTCATCCTGCATCGCACACGAAAGCAGAGCCGGTGCGGAGTCGACCCGCAACATTTGTAAGCAGGTTCTGGCATGGACCCAGCGTGCAGGCGAGGTGTGCATTGGGCTTGGGTAAAAAAATGGAATTGAGACTGCTGGGCCGAACCGATTTGATGATATCTATGACGGGGCATACGATGGCGTTGGGTTCTTCTCGTAGACGATGCAACATGGGTTGCAACCAGCCGGGATTGACTTCGCAATGACTAAGCGGCGAGGTGAAATTCAGTGAGAGTGCATCTGCCCTTGGCAATAAAGAGGAGGACTGGAAGGACATGGAGTTTGTTGTGCTGTGTCACGAGCTGGCACCTGGTTTACCTGTCAAGAAAGAGGATGACCTCGCCTCGGGCTTGCCGGGCACCGGCAATTTTCGCGCGAATAAGGCCCGAGCGCTCTGGCAGGCGCATCAAGCGAGCCTTGGGAATGGCTGCCACCTGTGCTTCAAAGGACGCGTCGAGCCACTCGCCCGTGGAAGCATCATCAACCAGCAGCACCTAGTATATGGCACAATTCATCAATGGTGTACCAGTCCCGCAACATGTTTCGAACTGCTCCCTCCTGCACCACATCAAAGAGGTGCAAAGCAAAGCGCCATGAGACAGCACGCACTTCGGCAATAAGCGCCGATGGCGAGCGGTTGAGGACGCTATGAACTGTACGAAGAAGAGTAGAGATGGCTTCATTGTGGAAGATGATGATGACACTAGCAAGCTCGAACAGCATGAAACCGTGCGTCAGCGCAAGCCAGATGCAGCGTCATGAGAGCAAGGGCCCTCTCACCTGGTTGTAGGCAGCTCAGATGGTGGGAGATACCATTGAGCCAGGCATTCATCGGGTCGATGGTCACCAAACTCTCGGTCCTAGCGTGGTTGGGTGGATACAAAACAACGAGTGTGAAATTTGAATGAAGGTGTGCACTAGGTGTGGTGGCGATAGAGTGTTGAGAGCGGATGGAACAGGGGCGGATAGGCAACGTATGGCGACGAGTTGAATGGAATCCGTTTGAGACCTGGTGGAACATACCAGTGGGAGGAGATCGCTGATCATTTGATTGAAGGCATTGCGCTGATAGCCTGAGTAGCAAGAATCCGGCTGCATGAGCGCGGGCACAAGGCGCAAGATAGCACGTCAGGCAAATACCTTGTGCTCGAATCTGCTCTTGTTCCGAGGTTAACTTCTTGTTCTTCCACTCGTCGATTATAGCCTTGTGAGCAGCGGCCTGGGGTGCTGCGAAGCGTTCCTCGGCGCGTACCTGCGGTCGTGTCCGCAACGGGAATCGCGGGGGGTGGGAATAAACACAAGCCCAGCAGGATGGCCAGGCATGACATGTCCATGTCTATTGTGGTATGGTTCTTGAAACGTGGGGGACAAGACATCTGATTGGTACGGAGATAAAAGCGGATACACAAAGACGTACGAGCTGGGTCTCCTTGAGGATTCGGGGTGCAGCCGGACCCTCGCTTATGGTGTTAAGGAGCACCAGTAGTGCACAAATAAACAAAGTACCACCAGCAAGTAGCAGCAGACCTACCCCGCTGGGCCCTCTGATGCCACGAGCCAGGTAGTTGTCATTGAGAGCGTATCGATGAGCCCATCAGCGGTGATCGTGGGGGAAGAGGCACGGGCAAAAACGGGCAAGGGCGTACCGACACCTGCGGCTGCTGACCGGCTTGACCGGCTTGTGTTCGTGAAAAACGGGAAGTGGGGGCACTTTGACCTGACCGTAGACGGCACGCTGGCCATAGCTACCATCATGATACGTCCGGGCTGCCATCTTGTCGTCCTGGATCGCCAGCACACCACGCGACACACCTGGGGAGATGGGTCCGGCAACAAGGCGATGATCGTGCAGTGTCCACCAGCAAGGAATCAAGAAGAGTACAATGTCATTATTAGCGTCCAGACGTCCACATGGAAAACACCTCTTCTCAATGTTGACGCTCCACACCAGGATTCGGCCCCTGATGCCGGTGTGCCTGGACCCAACGTCCCGTCCTCTACTCCCAGCTCCGCCGTGCGCCGTGCGAGTTTCCCCGAGAAAAAAACGAAAAAAAAATTCCGTGATGGCAAAAAGAAAAAAGTGTACAAGCGATACAGTGACAAATGTCACACTTTTCTTCATTCCGCTTTGTTTCTTCTGACTGACTTCGTCTTCTTATATTGTCAGACAATCATGTTGTTGTTGACGATGTCATCTATTCTTTTGTTTTTTTTGCTGCTATGCTGTCGCATCAACGTTTTACTCTCTCGAATCTCTCCAATCTCTTCGATGTGTGTGTCTCTCGCTGCTCTCTCTCGCTTCTCCCTCTCTTGTCTCTGTTCTCTCTCTCGCTTCTCTCTCGCTTCTCTTCTCTCTCTCTCTCTCTCTGTTACTTCTCTTGACGCTTGAAAGGACTCCATCATGGTTCGAGTCATCATTCTTTAAAAGAGCAGTGCGGTTGGATACGATCAAACTGCTGACCCGACATCATCCTTCGGCTTGGACGGTGCTGAGCCGAGCGTTGAACGGGTGCTGTCCTGTGCTGTCCTGTGCCAAACAGGGTGCTTGGTATGTGCATGACGTGGTGGTCAGTGAAAATGGCACGGCACACACGCCATTCATGCGCGAGTTGTCACGGAGAGGGGTATGGATGTCGGCCGACTCACGTGTCAGTTCATTTTGCTCATGGCATGCCTCTGCCTGCCGTCGCCCGTGTCTGCCCTCGCCCGTGTCTGCCCTCGCCCCATTGTTACATTGTCTGCTGCCATGCGTCTGCGTTTGGTGGACATGGTGCGTCGACCCAGACTCGTGGTTGGGTGCCGCCCCGCCTCCGCCATGGCCACGGTCGAACTTCGGGTGGCTTTTGCCGAAGTGCCAGCCGCCACACAGGGCGAACCCTCCTGCATGGTCCTGTGTTCGACAGACGCCCAGCTCAGCAACCCCTTACTGGTACGCTTGCATGCTGCTTGCATGCGTGGGGGCCAGGCGCAGACTAAGGACCTGTGCTTGCCCCGCTTTTTCTTTTTTTGGTTGTTTACACCGGTTTCCCTCGTGCAGGAATTGCTGTTGACTGACGCCTACCTGTACGGTGACTTGCAACGTGTTGTGGCCGATGAGGGTGCGTTCCGCCCTCCTTTCCTTGCCTCTCTTCCTGAGCACGCCATGTGTGGGCGATTTACCTTGACTTACTCGTCTTGACTTCCATCTTGCCGGCCTTGCAACCGTGATTTTAGACCACAGTCGCGTCCGCCTGGTCTATGGCTCGGTGCAGGACGCCGCCCGCGCACGCATGTATCTGAACAACAAGGACTATGCAGATGCTTGCTTTGAGGCTCATTTCGCCAAGGTGCGGCAGACTGATGGCGGTGGCTTCTGCCGATGACCTGGCCTGTGGTGGTCCTTTGCTTCTGTGACCAGTTGCCGCGACTTGTGCCATCTTGCTGCCTTGTGTGTTGTTTGCCCTGATATGACCCCCCCTTTTGGACGTGATTGTCCCTACTTCCTCCTCAGGAGCTTGACGCTGGCCGTGGGAGCCATTTAGAAGTACCTGCGCCGACCAAGCAGTTCCTCATTTCTCCGCCGGCCTCGCCGCCCATTGGCTGGGAGCCCAGCCATGAGGAGCCACCGGTCGTCAACCACGCCTTGGTGGACGCGCTTATGTCGCTTGAGCCCAATACACCCCATGTGCTTCACCAGCCCGAAGGCGATGTTCAGCAGCCCATCATTACGCTCACCAACTGCGTCGCGACGGACGCGGCCGAGTCAAGCGAGCCTGCTGCATCTGAGCCAGAGCAGTTGCCTCGTGTGTCGACTGCCGCGCCTCCGAGGCGAACCACGGCCCCTCAAATTGTCATGTGCGTTTTGTCAACCCAAAAAAAAATGAGCTACGCGTCTATCGTTGCGATGTGGCACTTTCCTTGCTTCTCTTGGGTGACTCATGCGGCCTCGCGGTCACTGTCTGTTGTGCAGAGAGCCTGTCGGTGCAGATCGACGCTATGCATCCTTGCAGACGAACACCAGCTCCTCCAATCAGACCAGAGGTCAGTCACCGGTTCACTTATTTTGCTCGGTTTTTGCTGCTCGCGTGTCGGGCCATGGGTGCACCGTGCTTGCATCCCGTTGCCTGATGTCATGCGACGCCCCTGCTCTACAGTCATGCCGCAGACAAGATGCCCGCCGCGCTTGTAACCCGACCTGGTGGTATATGGTCATGCCGCCGCGCGGCTGTGTCGTCTTTGGCTTTCTGTCGTCATGTTCCGTGTTTGCAGGCTGAGTCCTTCCGCTCCCACTGCTTTGGCCGGACGCTCGCCAACGACCTTTCCTTGTTCTTCTGTTTCCTTCGTCTCTATCAATTGATACTCTTCTTCCAATGGTGTAAGCTGACTTTTTTTTTTGGATTTGAGTAGCACGCACTGGTGCCTTGCGCATCAGGCCCGAAGCACAGGCCCCAGACCAGATCGGTGCAGATGAAGGTTGAGCAGAGCAGGTCCCATCGGAACAGGCCATCACAGATGAGGCCCGAGGAAATCAGTGGACCGACGACGGTGTGGGAGCACTTTGCAGCATAGCAAGCAAAAAAAAAAAAAAAGCAAACACGGGGATGCCTGGTGATAAGCGGCGTTGCGCGCATGGGACTAGACTGGTCTCATACTCGTACACCCAGCCAACACCGCCTCGACCACCATGACACGCGTACTTTGATACCACGACAGCGATAGTACGGCGAAAGATCAGACCGTAAAATGCAACAAAATAGACCTTAAATTCACAAGAAATTATGAGAAATCAAGAAGCGACTGAACTGCATTTTTTCCGCGAAAATTCAAGATGCAGACGACGGTCGGCGGTGTGCTGGTCTTGGGCTTGACGGTCCTGTTGTTACCACACGCCGCGCTCCAGGCTAGCGTTGGACCAGCCAACTTATACGATGCCGGCAAGTGGCCGGTATCTCGGTGACCCCTGTCCCCTGCTCACAGGAAGCTCACATCGACTTTGCACTGCATTTCCAAACCCGTGTCACACACACACGACAGGCCTGACGGCTACCACCTGGGACGGAAAGGAGTTTGAGTTCTCCAGCCTGCGCGGCAAGGTAAAGTGACAAAGCACAAACCGCCATGCTACAGCGCATGCGGCAAGCAAGGTATCGTGCCACCAGGCATCGGCTGAGCCTGACCTGCTGATCACACACTGGCAGGTGCTTCTCGTGGTCAACGTGGCTAGCGAGTGTGGCTACACAGACCCCCGTTACGAGGTACTTGCGCTCAGGCCTATTCACCACACGTCCATCAAGGTGTACACTGCCACGATAAAGGCAGTTGTTGCTTCATGCTGTGGTTCTGATCATGGTCGCTGGGCATCAACACACAGGAGTTGTCACACCTTATCCGCATCCTTGGCAAGCGCGGCATCGAGGTCCTAGCCTTCCCGTGCAACCAGGTACACACAAGGTTATCACCCCTTTCCACCCCTTGCTTGTGGTCACATTCCACCACCACGCCGCCAACGCCGTCGCGTCCCGGCTTGTACACTGTAACATGTCTACATGCACGGCGGCGCTACTCGAGCTTACTGCTTCAACGCCTTCTTCGGTGCATGACTGGACGCGCAGTTTGGTGGGCAAGAGCCCGGTACCGCGGAGGAGGTTCGTGACTTTGGGCTCACAAATTACGAGGCAGACTTTGTCTACTTTGACAAAGTCGACGTGCAAGGCGTTCGACAAGCCCCTATCTACAAATGGCTGCTGGACCAGACTGGCGCAACCATCGACTGGAATTTTGGTATGCGTGTTACCCTTTCACCTGCACGCCTGTCCCGACTCTATGCATGCAACACTGTCCGTTTCACCATCCAATGCTCAACATCTGGAACCTGCCCTGCGACGCCCGACACGGCTTAGAAATCTTCATCATCGGCCGCACGGGCGCGGTGCTTCGTCACTTGAAGTCAGGTCTGTGCTCATTCTTATGTCCTGGCCGAACCATCACGACGCACCATTGCTGCACACACAGACGTCGACGGCTCACTCATGCTCACGAATTGTTATTTCACAGCCGAGAAGATCGACATCAACGAAATGGCCAAGATTCTTGGGCACGACGAGCTATGATACCCAACCCGACTTAATTGACACGCTCTTCCAACACCGCCCCATTTGCACATTCTTTCCCAGTCAAACGCCCTTCTTCTCACGCCCTTCTTCTCAGCAACGGGGTACTTCGGGACCGCCATGCCGCCCCGAAGCCACCCAACGAAGCACACCGCCCAAATGGACCGCGTGTCTCTTGCTCCTGCTAACAATAATTTCCAGCATCCAAATGTAAAGCAATTTTTGGCTCGCCAACACACTTTCAGTTATTTTTATTTTTTTTTCTTGGAAACTTGATCTAGTGAGAAGCTGGCGCTATAGAAGCAAGTGGCGCACAGCCCGGGTACGGGAAAGAGCAGAGGGTCGCTCATCATGCCTTGAGCGGAGGGACAGGCTAGGTTGATCCACACGCACCGGGCCGTGGCTCGTCGTGGGTGTCCGGAACGCTGAGCATCACAGCGACGAGTGAACTCAACCATGGATGAGGATGACGATCTTCTTGCGGAGCTCGAGGCGGAGCTCGAGTCGGCCCCTGACACAGGGCCAGATGCTCGAGCAGATGAAACGAGCCTGGCGACCCAGGCCGCCATGGCGGCCATTCCACAATCGGGGGTCTCCACGGAAGAGTTCATTCGCCTCCAGGTCCGTTGTGCATGGCACCGCTTGCGACGAGCCGCCACCAGTCCGTGCGTCTTGGGGCCGGTCTCGCCTGGGCTGACGTTGATTTGCTCGCCTTGAAACGTATAGCAACAACTCGCTGAACTTAAAAACCAGCTTTTCGACGCCAAAGAGCGTGAGAAAAAGTACCGAGATCACGTGCGTTGTTGGAGAAACTCACGTCCACACCGCCCTTGATCACAGCACAGCTGATACCCATCACGTTGCATAGATCCAACGGCAGCGCGCCGAAGGCACAAACAACCGCTCGTCTCGTCGCAGTGAAATGCTGGGCAACATGTTCCGACGCGGACGTTCCCAATCCAACGCGTCCGTGTCAGAGAGCCCGGCGCCAAGTGTGAAAGCAGTACCACCCGCCGAGCTTGAAGCCAAAGTACGCGCCCTACCGATCATGAGACCTCCATTGAACCTTCATCACGACCACTACTCTGGTGCCGCGTACTCATGCTAAACCGCAACCCAATGAGTAGGACAAGGAAATAGAAAAGTTGAAGCAGAGGGCGCAGCAGCTCGAGGAGGAAGTCGGCTTGCACAAGGAATCCAAGGACCAGGTGTGGGTCGATGTTCTCTTCTCTCAATGTTGTGACGGCGCAAGTTTAGCACTCACTGATTTCGCGGGGTGCATCCTCCTTCCTCCCTGACGCATGCGGGCGCAGCTCCTGCGGCAAGTGAAAGCACTCCAGCTGGATTTGGATGATCAGCGGCGCGTCTACAAGCGCAGGTGAGTCGGTCTACCGCCTCTTCGTGAAGCCGCTCTAGTACAGCGAGCACCCCTGCGTGATCAGAGCACATGGCTGCTCATGCCAAACCGAACGGGGCCATTTTTTTTTCAAAAGTATGGCTGCCATCAATGAGAAAAACAGCAGCCTGCAGGCAGAAATCAAGCGACTTCAACAGGTGCGGCCAACGACTGTCCACGCCCAGCCGCCCGGTCAACCTGCTGACGATGAGGCGATTCTGTGGTTTGCATCTCTAGAACAATGTACATCTACTAGAGGAGATGGCTCGTGAGGAAACAAGCTCAGACCACATGAAGCCCACGCAAGGCCAGACGGCATCCGACTCCGCCCCGGGCGTGGCCAATCAGCCAGACAGTGATGCAACCGTAAGAACGACGAGTCAGCCTGAGTTGCCTACACAGCCACTTGCACAGCAGCCTTTGAGCGACTCAACTAGCACACACGAAGTGGCTGGGGATGTGGTCGAGCTGACGTCCCAACTCAAGCTCTCTCAACAGCGTGAACTCGAAGCCAATGAACAGGTGGGGGCTTGCGATCTAGCTCGTGCAGACTAGAGGAGCTCCGACTCTCTTACTCCTTGCACACCATTCAAACGACTTGCGTGCTCGCTCCTATCTTCTGTGTTTTGGGAGATGCAGCTGTCGTCATGCCAGCAAGATCTCGAGATACTGCAACAAAAAGTTCAACGTTTGCAACAGGATCACTTGGTGGGTTGCCTGGCATTTAAACCACGTATCGTTCAGCTCGCCTTGAACTTTCGCTCACCCGGCGGTTTTTTTTTTGTTTGTGCTTAAACCTATCGCTGACCACATGCGGGTATTCACGTGTATAGGGTGAAGTGGAGGATGTTCAGACACTGCGAGATCAGCTGCGGCTGGTGCGCATGCCGAGCCTTTTGAGCCCCGAGCGTGCTCAGATGGGTGTTGCCTCACTTCTGTAACATCTGGGTCTACATTGCAGGCACAAGAGGAGGCGGAGCAGCGCAAGGGGACTGTACGCGAGTGTGAAAGCACCATCAAGCAACTCAAAGCAACAGCCGACCAAGCCCGCACAGACCTCGAGGTTGCGCAGGGTGACGTAGCTGCACTTCGTCAAGAGATTGTCGACCTCAAACTTAGGGTACGACTCTGTTCTCGCCGTCACAAGCGCAGGGCACCAAGGGATGAATCTTCCATGACGGATAGAGCAGAGCCTGGTCATGTAACCCGAGACTTTGCTTCTAGGCGGACTGGGCCACCAACAACTTGGAGGAAGCACGGCAAGATGCTGGCAGTGCACGTGACGCCATGCGCAAAGCGCAGCAAGAGATCAAAGCGGTGTGTGTGTGTGTGTGTGTGTGTGTGTGTGTGTGTGTGTGTGTGCCCTTAACCTTTGCTACATGAGCTTTACGGCAATGATCTTCATGCAAGTTGAGGGTGGCGGAGGGAGGTGTATGTGCCACGCAAGGCCACGCGTCCTCACTTGCTACCTGCCGGCGCGGATTGCCTCTGCTGATATGGAAACAGCTGAAGAGCGAAGGCAAGGCGAGTGGCTCTGCACACGCCAAAGCGCTGGCCGACAAGGGCAAAGAATGTACAAAGGTGCGCGCGTGTTGCTGCTTTCAATTAAAAAAATCAAGGCTTGAATGAAGGTTGGGTCTGGAATGCACAAAGATTCAGGCCCGCTCATGGTGGCGCTGACTCACAAGCGCTCATCGCTACTGTTGAACTGCAGCTGGAAAAAGAAGTACAGCGTTTGCGAACTGCCCTGGATAAGGAGCAGAAAGCCATGGCTGATCGCTTGGACACTTTAACCAAAGCCAAAAGCGAGGTACGTACTCAAAGGCGGTTGCAGTTGCAGTGCCAGTCGGGCTGTCACTGGTGGTGTTGGAGCAGGGCATGCTGCTTCGGCCAGTACAACACGCCATCATCATGATGACCGCGATTGTTCATCATGTAGAGTCAAGCGTTGGCCAGCCGACTCGCAGAGTTGGAGCAAAAACACGAGAGCGTTGTGGCTGAAAAAAACAGCCTCGTTCAGCACAACAGTCAGCTCAAGACGACGTTAGAGGATATGCGGCTGCAACTGGACCAGACACAGGTTGGCAGGTCCATGTCGCATGACGCGACTCATGGTCTGGCTCTGCAAACAAGTTTAGTGAAAAAAGGCCTTGAGGACTGACAGATATGTTGATGGGCGCAGGCAGTGACACAAGAGCTTGAGCAGGAGCGTGCGGCGCGGCACGCGCTGGAGCGAGAGAGTGAAATGCTTTTGACTGCAAGTCAAAAGTGAGTCGATGGTGTTGTATTATTTGTAGCAGATACCACGGTCGCTTGATGCTTCATTTGGCATGTTTTTGATGTTGTGCTGTGTGGCGACTGCGGTAGGAGTACGGACTCCATTACTGGCATGAAGGCGCGATTGGCCACGCTGGAGGCGACGGAGCAACAGCTTTCTGCTGAGTTACAGGAAGCACGTTCTCTTTTAACGACGCGAGATGCGGATCTTGAGGCGCTGGAACAAGAGGTGAGGGGTTATTCCTCTAGGGCACGTGCTGTGTTACATCAAGATGCGGATGGCGGGTTTGCTTCTGACTGGGGTATCCTTGGAATAATTCGCAGAGAGAGAGTTTGCAAGAGCAACAGACAAAACTGCAGGAGCAGCTTGCCGAGTTGGAACAGGCCTTGGAAGACATGACACAGGCAAAGGCCGAATTGGCCCTCGCGCTGGAGGACGAGCGAGCCTCAGCCACTAGCGAGGCGACTTACCTGACAGGACAATTGAATGAGGAGCTGCAACAGCGGCAAGACATGCAGCAAAAGCTTCGCGATTTGGAGGAGTCTTTGCGTTTGCAGCAGAAGAAGCATGCTCATACGACGCGCGACATGGCCAAGCAATTGTCGCAGGCGCAGAAGAAAGTGCGTATGTGTGTGTGTGTGCGCGCGCGCGTGCGCCTCTACCAGTTTGCTGATGTGCATCATCTGGGGTGCGTTTGGTCTTCTGATGATGAACGGGTATGCACCTAGTTGGCTTCGCTGAGTCGACAGCCCGAGGAAGATGCACAGAGCGTGGCCTCGACTGGCTCCATGGTGGACGAGCCCCTGCATTCACCTTCCAATAGCTCCATTCATAGCCGAGGTACGGCGAGGTACATGTATGGCACTTCGATGCGGTAACAAGAATGCGCCAGGCCCAGATGCTTATTGATACGCGGGCAATGAAACAGACATGAACTCTATGGGAGGCATGGGCCCGACCGTGAGCATGCTTCCAGCGACGCCTGAGCCATTGCAGCCGGCACCGCGGACGGCAGAAGTGTCCACAGCCCCGTCGGGGTTGGCTTCGCTGTTTGGCAGTCGGCGCGCGGGTGAGAAAGGACAGCCCGGCCAGCGTTTACAGGCCAAGGTCGACTTTCTCGAGTCTCACGTCAACGAGCTCACTGAAAGCATCAAGGTTTGTCGGACTATCCATGGTGTACACCGCTTTCGTGCTAAGTGGTGCCGCCTCGAGGTGAGATGACTGACCCCGATACAATGTCGGTGATGGCTGGCTGGTTCGATGTGTGCGCCAGAACAAGAACAAACTCTTGCAACAGTACTTTCTGCGAGAGAAGATGGGTCATCTGGCATCGCCCTCGACGGGCGCGTCGCAGCCCCAAAGTAGTAGTGCCTCGGTGAGCTTGAAGCCCGGAAAGCCCAAACTGCCGCTTTAGCTCGAGATTGGAGCTTACGTGGTATGGTGCCTGCGCATGGCGTGGTAGGCTCGCTTTAAAGCGCTGTTGGGCGCGAATTTGCAGCAGCAGCATCAACAGGCCGTGACCCAAGAGGCCATGGCCAAGCTGCAGGAGGGTAGGTTCTGGGTTCCTTCCATCCACTCCTTTTCCCGTCGATTTGTCCCACTCACTGACTGTGAATGCACATGCCTGCACACCATAGTCCTGGAAGACACCATGCTGCAAAACATTGCACTCAAAGAGACGATCGACGCCCTGACGAAAGCTTGACAAATTGATAGCGCGCTTCACTTTTTCATCCCACTAGCGGCTGAGCGATCAACAGCTTTGATATAGAATTGATGTGCAGCACGCCGAGTACCCGAGAGGACTTGAGCGCGCCGACGCGTAGAGTCAACGAGAAGACCCGTAGCACACATCATAGCACAAATTGACCCGTCGTACAAATCAAACAGGAACAAACAGTCGAGCTGCAGAGGAAGACTGATCACATTGGCTGCCATCAGCAAAAAAAAAAAAAGTTAGGCAGGCCTCCTCCTGTCCGGCCAAAAAAAAAAACGATCGTTGGAGTCATCGGGGATTGAACCCGAGACCTTCCGCATGCAAAGCGGACGCGCTACCACTGCGCCATAACCCCCCTCGACCGAGTAAGCGACAGCCGAAATATACAAAGCCATATAAACTGATCATACTCCAAAAAGTCCTCAAAATGCTCTCAAGCTGCTGAAGAACAAAAAAGAAATCGAGTGGAGTCATCGGGGATTGAACCCGAGACCTTCCGCATGCAAAGCGGACGCGCTACCACTGCGCCATAACCCCTTTCGAGTTGTTGTAAGTTTTCGTGATATTTTATAATATAAATGAATAAGATATTGAGGCTGTGAGAGAAAAAAAAAAGACACCTCCACAACAACAGTTGAAGAAAACGAAAAGAACTGCAAAAAAAAAAAATAATCATGGAGTGACGGGGGATCGAACCCCGGACCTTCTGCATGCGAAGCAGACGCGCTACCACTGCGCTACCACCCCAGTTCAGATAAGATTATTTAACGCTACTATCACATATAAAGCAGCTTCAACAATGAATGCACGAAACGTAAGCCATTCAGAATGTCAGCAAAATGATTGAGTAGTGCAAAAAATTCATGGAGTGACGGGGGATCGAACCCCGGACCTTCTGCATGCGAAGCAGACGCGCTACCACTGCGCTACCACCCCAGTACGCTTATGTAGTCTTGGAAGAAAAACTCTATATAAAAAAAATCAGTCATTCTGGCTGAGACGGCTATTGTTCAATCTGCTTGTCCAGTTTCTCATCTTCATCATGTCGATGCTCGTGACGGCGGATGATGGCGGCTACAGTGCGAGTCGGGACGCTGCCATTGCCGAATGCGTGCGTGTAGGGGTCGTGCGGAATGTGTCTCTACTTGTAAATGGAGTCAGCTTTGGGCAACAGCTCTTCACTGGTGCCTGCTTGGGCCTCCACTTCAATTTGACCGAGGGCAAACCTGTTTGTGGGGCGGCAGCGCTGCCGCGGCTTGTGGGTGGCGGGGACGGCCTGTTCCGGGGTAAGCAAGGTCTTTTTGATTACGTGAAGCGCCTGTCAGACAATACTGCGGCCATGCTGGAGTTGCAGCGTGAGGTTGTGGCTGAGCTGGAGCAGCAGTATGCACGCTTCAGTGCAACTATTGGTCATCCGCCCCGTTATTTGGATGGCCACAACCACATCCAGGTCTTTCCCGGTATCCACGGCGCCATGCAAGATTTTTGCCGGGTGCGACAGCTGCCGTTGCGCTGGCCCGAGCCCAATCCCACGGAATCGGTTGCGAGTCTCTCGCCCTATCTTCGACAAGTCGCTGTCTGGGCAATCGCCCATCGTGATCATGAGGTTTTGTCAACTCGTGCCTTCCTGGGTCTGACCCTGATGGGTCCTGCGCTCAACTTGGAAGGAATTCTTCAACAACTCGATCAGTGTCGTGATGCGCAGCGCGCCCTCGCGCTGCAGCCTCAAGATCGTTCCTTTTCCATTGAGCTCATGACTCATCCTGGCCAGCCCCGGGCAGAACCTGACGAGCCTGCCGGATGTCATGGTCAGGTGCGGTGGCATGCTCTCAAAGGCCCTGACTAGTTGCACCAACCTCACTTCTTACAACCATGACCGTGCGCGTGCATAGATACCCGATGATTTCAGCCAAAGCTCAGACCGATTGCACGAGGCTCACTGTTTACAGGCCATGAGCGTGGCTCTCCCTGCTGCCTTGCGGGCGCGGGGCCTGCAGCTTGTCGGCTGGGATCAGCTGCAGCCTCCAGCTTGACTGCATCGGCGTTCTCATGGGTTACAAACTGGTCAAAGTCGAGGCTGCCCGCTTAAGATCAAGGGCTGAAGCCGCTTTTGCGCCGGGGAAGGGCCGTCATGGATCAATTTGCACAAGCGAAAACCGACGGCATCGACTTGATGCTGGTCAGCCAATTTGCACCAACTTGGACCTGAACGGGCAAGCCTGTATCAGTTGATGCATCGTAGAAGTGGGCAGGTCGTGGCTTTCGCGTTGATCTAATGTCCAACGGCAAGGGCACTGTTGCAGGCGGTATGTAGCTAAGCCGTGGACACAGTCGGGAAGGTTTCAATGACCGTCTCAGCACCGGTGCTGCGCACCATGAAGACCTTGGCCTACTCAGGTGAAGCACAGATGCGAGGACCGTGAGGGGGTGACAAGCAGGAAAAGTGAAGAGTAAAACAAGGGCAAGCGCCATGACTGCTTGTGCTTTTTGCTTTTATCGAAAAAAAGGCTGATCGGCACTATCAACTCGGGCCTTGCTGTTTGCTTCCGTACGGCTGGCGGTGTCCCATCGCATACCTGACTGGGATCACCCTCGTGCACGACAAGTTGGTAGGTGCCTGGCGTGGCGATGCGGTCACCGCTCTCCGGGGCCACCAAATTGAAGTGGGAAGACTTGAGTTCAAACCTGAGCATGCCCAGGCGATCATACATGAGTGCAGCAAGGCCAGTTGGGGAAAACCATCGGATGATCCGAGCTGCGAATACGTACGGCACAATCGTCTTCGCGCCCGCAGCCAAATGTACGCGCTGGAAGCCGATCAACTGCTGGATGAGCTATCAACGTGCCAGGTACCCACCGCGCAGAGTGAGTAGCGAGAAATACGCTCGCCCGGACAAGGGGGGTCTGATTTGGTACTTCAGCTTCCACTCTTGTTCCAACAGGACATGGCGCCTCGTACCGGGTGCTGGCGCACATCCAAGCTATCTGGCACCATGTAGAACTGCAGCACGGTGTCACCCGTTTTGTTGCCGGTGTTGGTCACCTAGGGTACGGGAAGCGTAGGATTGTGTCGGGTCAAAAACACTTCTGGGCCAGTATGGATGCCCCAGCAGGCGTGCGCAACGAACGGTAAAGTTGAATGTCTCAGACAAGTCTTGGTTGCCAGTCACAAAGTCAAAGTTAAAAGTGGAAGGCCCTGTGAAAGAGAAGGAAGTGTAGCTCAAGCCCCAGCCAAAAGTCCTGTAAATCCCCACACGTCACCGCAGCCAGATCAAGTGAGAGCCATGGGCTAGAGTTCCTGCTACAATGAAGTTGTTCATACATACCACAGCGTTTCGTTCTTGTAGTAGCGATAAGTCCGCCCGGGCCCGCTGGTCATCTCCATGTCGGACATGTTGATCCAGTTGATGTAGTCTGCGGGGTAGACAGTGTAACTGAGTTTGCCTAAGGATTATGAAAGAAGGCAAGAGAAGCACGCTTCGTGGGTGAGTCATGTTCAGAGTAGTATTTGCAAGCCATCGGTTCTGCACAGCAACGCGATATCCATCGCCTAGCTTACCGCCGAGGTGCTCGTTCTGGCCGGTCAGTGTCTGAGCAATGGCCGTGCCACCGTAAAAGCCTGGGTAGCCAGCTGCGCACAGGCATGACAAGGGGTTCAAGGTCAGCGGACAGGATCAGTAGACTGAGCATTTCATGACGGGGAAAGCCATGCGGCGCACCCTCAATGATGGCATCAGCCTGTTGCTTCTCATTCTCAATGGCCAGCATGCCACCATTCAGAAGCACGATCACGGTGGGCTTGCCAACAGCAAAGATGGCACTGGCCAGTTGGTGCTGGCACTCTGGGAGATCAATGCTTTTGCGATCATTGGACTCTGCCTCGATCGACTCGTCGATGCCCAGCATGAGGACGGCAACGTCAGCAGCGGTGGCCACTGACACTGCCTCGTCAATGTGGGACTGGCTACACGTGGTGACGTTGGTGCCTGGAGCATAGGTCACGGCATCGGTACCAAGGATGGAAACAAGTGCCTACACGTCACACGGCAAGATTCACAAACGAATCAGGCACACAACAGAGGCAGGCTGTGCGGTTGCGTCCCTTCTTTGTTTGGGTCGCAGTATTTGGTGACATACATCGTGGGGGCTGACCACGCAGTCAAAGTTGTTGTCGGGGCAAAGTTGGCCGAGGTAGTTGCCCACCATGTCCTCCTGAGCCTTGGCGTGTGGGCCAATCAAAGCCACCTTGGTATCTGGGTGCCGAAATGTAACAGGGCGCATTTAAGACCAGATTGCCATCTAGATGGACATTGTTATCTTTGTTTGCGATGGCACGGCAGGTACTGACTCGAGGCGAGGGGGAGCACGTTGTTCTTGTTCTGAAGCAGTACCATGCTTTCGAGGGTGTGGAGCATGTTAGTAGCTCGCGAGGCATTGGTATTAACTGCGGCCAGCGGAACCTGAGGATGGAGGTGATCCAATGTGTGATGAAGATTGAGACGAGTGGTCGAGGCCAAAACGCAAGGCAGGCACGAGGGCGCAGTGTGTATTGTGTCAAGTTGTGGCGCGACGGATCGATACAAGCTGGACGTACGTGCCAGTACGACTGATTCTCAACGGGGTCAAAGAGACCCAGCTCAAAGCGCAAACGAAGCGTGTTGCGCAAGGCATTATCGACATCTTCCATGCGACAATGCCCCTCGGACACGCCCTGTAGCAGTGATTTCATGTAGACGGCACCACTGTCAATGTCCGTCTGCCCGTCGCGGATGGCAGCACAGGCCGCCGTTGCCCAGGAGGGCGTATACTTGTGGTTGTCGGAAATGTCTTCTACCGCACCAGTGTCACTGGACCAAAGCACAAGCAATTTGAGAGGCATGGGTGCATCATCAGGACGAGGGATCGGGCCGTTTGCGCCGAGTATAGGCGAGCGCTTGTGCTTGGGTACCTTGAGACATAGCCGTCAAATTTCCATAGATCACGAAGGACGGTGCGGAGGAGCGGGTGGGCGCAAGTGGGAATGCCATTGACGGCGTTGTAGCTGCACATGACACCCTTGGCCTTGCCCTCGGTCACAGCGACGCGAAAGGCAGGCCAATAGGTGTCCATGAGAGAGAAGTTGGAGACAATGGCATTGAAGTTGTGGCGCGTTGCCCCATCGCTGTCCTCAAGGCTGTATGCATCCCAATCTATCAGAGGACCCCCAAGCGTCAAGGAATGAGGGTCAAAGACCGCAAAGAATCAAACGGTTTCATACACCAGCCCGACTCTTGATCAAGCCGCATCCGGTGTACGGGCTGGTGCGCGACCGGGCGCGCGCTTACGCTTGAGGGTGACAATTGCTTGGAGATAAGTATCGTCATCGCCTTGCAGGCCAAGGGTGTAAGCCTTGCCGAATTGACCATTCATGAAGGGATCCTCGCCCGGCACTTCCTGGTTGCGGCCCCACAGGGGACTACGAGCAATGTTGATATTGGGAGACCTGTGTGTGCACGGCAAGCTGGTGAGCGCTGGCCAGTTTAAAGATGGGGTGAGGCCACAGTGGCAGCCAAATATGATCCGTGCTCTGCTCAACGCGACAGAAAGATGGCTTTCCCGTACCAGGTATCCAGGCCAATATGCGGGCGTCCAGACCAAGTTGAGGCTTCAACGGCACCGGCCAGCCAGAGCGCGCGCGTCTCGACGCCAATGATGCGGCCAAGCTCCAAGTAGGCCGAGTAGTTCCAAGTGAAACCATAGTTGACTGGGTTGGGAAAGCTGGTTGGGCAATACACGGTGCCATCGTCATCCTTGATGCAGGATGACTGAACGCCATGGATCGCGTTCATGCCCTGCTCATGTGCGTGCGAGGTTGAGGATGTCATGAGTCAAAAAGGGTGCATAGCTCCTCAGTGCTTCTTCGTCGGGGCATCCTTGTCATACCCACAGACTCACCCAGTCATACTCGGGCAGGCCAATGCGGGACACGTTGCCCGGAGGGCCGGGGCTACCACCACCACCTAGTGATATCGGGGAGGTGCCGAATGACATGGCGTTGTCGGTCCAGATAGCATGCGGCACACACAGACTACACACCTTCGCGGGCGGTCAGCAGCGGCGGCTTCTCGTCATCGTGAATCAGTGAGATGAGCGACTGCATCCACCCAATGGGCACGCGAAACATGGTCAAGCAATGGGGTGAGCGCCAGCCGGGTTGCTGGTAGAGTGTTTGGGTTCAGATTTGCTTGGCACGTCGTACCGTGACACGATCTTCAATGGTCAGCTGGGTGTTGCAAAAGTCATAGGCATCATGGGGGGGCAGACAGGCACGAGTATCCATGGTCACAGTATTGCGATCCAAAGTCTGCGCGCGCACATGGGCCAAGAGGGCCCACAGCACGGCCACCCGAGCCGGCCACCGCCACTGGCTTGCCATGGTTCACTGAAAAAGAGAAAAAAAAAAATGAGCAAACGAGAGGCAGCAATAACCTTTCAGATCTACGACAGTTACTCATCACTCTAATCCCTTATCAATACCTTTAGCATCAGCCGACATCTGCAAAAGAACCATCATCTCCAACAATAGCAGAAACAGCCAATCTCGGAGCCAATGTCAGCATTATTTGTCAGACGATCCAGCACGAATCGAGGACACACGGGGAGCGATGGCGGCGGCGGCGGTGGAGGGGGAGCGATGGCAGAGCCCGTTGGCGCGATTGTTGCAGGCGCTGCCGCTGGGGCAGGGGTTGTTGGTCGTGGCCAATGTGGCGGGGGGCAAGGTTTGTGCCGTGAAGGATCTGTATTTTGGGCCGTTATTGTCGGTGACCGACCTTGACTTGGCTTGCTCAATGCCGCTGCCAGACAACCGCCGTCCGCGCCCTGCTGCGCTCCCGACCCGACCTGCCAGCGACCCTCTGGTTGGACCTCAAGGAACAGCACCGAACGGCCGATAATCTTCTTCTTACTATCGAGGTCGGATGCCTTGGCCACCTGCACTCCTGCCTCGCTCCAATTTGGTCGGTGTTCGCTCGCCTCACTCTCACGCATCGCAGGAGGCGCTTAAGACAGCGGACGACCCACCACGAACCTTGGTTCTGGACGACCTTGACTACACAGTTTCGACGGTCGAGGAGCAGGCACGGCTGGCCGCTTTGCTACTTCGTCTCCCGCCTGGATGGATCTGCTTGGCAACAGCTACCCGACCAGCCCGCATCGCCAAGCCCCTTCTTGAGGTGCCATGTCTGCAACGCTGTATTCAAGCGCCGCCGCTGACCTTTGTGGACCGTGCCAGTTTCTTCCAAGCTGCCCTGCACAACATCAGCATAGCTCAGCAACTAGCGCAGCATAGTCCTGGGTTTAATCTGCTCGACCTCACCCGTCTACTCGGCACCTACCATCTGGCGGCGACCCTGCACCCAGAGGCCGCCAAGATGCCCGAGGCATCACCCGGGCAAGCTGGCGTGGATTTAGTCGCGCTGGCCAGCTCAAAGCTTCGCTCCATCACCGTGGGTTCTGCAAAGCTCATTCATCACCGCCGCCCGTGGCAGACCATTCGTGGGTATGTGCCCCCTACTTTTCGTCAACGTTGCATTCCTTGGCCCCTTGGCCTTTGAACCTCTCCTCCCCACACGGGTTGCGTTGGCTCACGCGGCCTGCTGTTTGACCGGGACACCCATCGCAAACGCTAGATACGACGCTCTGCATCAGCGCTGCAGCGAAGTGGCTCGCATGCTGGCGACACAAGCTGAGACACCACCCTCAGGCCTTTTACTCTCTGGCCCATCGGGCAGTGGCAAGACTGCATTGGCCGAATGTTTGGCCACGGCCAGCGGTCTGCCGTGTCTCAGCGTTAATGCCGTGGAACTACTCAGCCCCTATCTAGGTGAAACCGAGGGCAATATTCGTCGCTGCTTTGCTGCAGCAGCGGCGGCACAGCCTTGTATCCTTTTTCTTGACAACGTGGACGTTGTGGGCCATTCGCGCGGCGGAGCAACCAGCGAAGCAACCAGCGGCGTCGAGGCGCGGGCGCTCAGCCAGATGTTAAATGAAATGGATGGGATCGAAGGTCGCTCCCAAGTCTTTTATCTCGGCACCACTCGCCAAGCCCCAGCAGACTTGGACTCGGCCCTGCTTCGCCCAGGTACCTACTCGCATGGCAACAGGCGCTGAGCCAAGGCAATGCCACAGGCTCACGCACGGCCCTGTTGATGTTCAAATGTTCATGTTCACGCCTTTTCTTGTGTCTGCTGGTGCAGGGCGATTCGAGGTTTGTGAAGTGATTACTCGGCCAGGGCCAGACGATGTTCAGTCTATCATCCGAGCGACCCTGGGCCCAACCATTACACTTGCCGAGGCTGTTCTCCCAGAGCTGCTGCGCGTCTTGCAGAGCGCCCCTGATTTGACTGCTGGTCACGTGGCCGCCTGTTGCTGGGAGCTGCAGCAGGAACTACACCGACATTCGTCCCAGGCGGAAAAGGAGCAGGCAAACAAAACAACCCCTGCTCACGAAATCACTCTGCCGGTGTTGAGCCCCGTGTTGCAGCGCTGGCAAAGGTTCCATAGCCCTCTGGCCCAAGCCGACTTCTTCCCGCGCGACTGAGTAGTTGATAGCAAGACCTGGGCTTGGGGTTGGATAAATCGAATTCAGAGCGAAAAAAGAAATAAAATGAAAAAAGACGATAACAACTCTAACTTATCACTCATTCCCGCAGTGAGAGGGCTGGTGAATCGATTTGCGAGGCCCTTCAAGTCCGAGGCTGCACAATCCACAGCTCCTGACGAGGTATGACGTTGGGCATGTGACAGCGTGCACGCGGTTATGAGTGCAGTGCACAGTGGGCAGATTTTAAGGCACCTTCACATCAGGCCACCCCACACACCAGTTCAGGCGCGCGGTCCCATCCGCGGACGTGCGATGGAATTGTTGCCGGCTCGAGCTGACGACTCTTGAAGCGCGGGCTTGCCAAAACTGCAGCTTCCAAATGCTCATAATTGGGTGCACCGACATCCAGTCGATCAAGCAGGAAGTTGATGCTGGGCCATGTGCACAAGCCGCAGTTACAATAAGTCACTTCCCACAGTAGCGCTGATCCCCGTCCCCTGTCACACGCTCTCAACAAGCGCGTCCCGGTAATTGCATGACGCACCGCTTCTCAACGGCAAGATAACAACATGTGGCCAAATTCTGTTCGAACAGGGATGCCAACAAGTCGGCAAAGGCGTAGGTGGCATCGTCGAGATACGCCACTGCGGATTGGGGGACGGTCGAACATTCGAGTAAGGCATTGGTGCGCGAGGAAAGCATGTATGTGGGCAACAGCGTACCATCGGCCGCCAGCACAACCGCTGGATGAGCGCGGAGCACGGCCGTGTCAGCGGCCGTCCAGTCAAACTGGGTGGGGCGGCATACGCGCTTGGCCGGCGGATGCAAGGCTTCAGCTTGATTCGTCAGCGACCGTGGAGGGCACAGCCAGTTCACATCGCGTACATGGACATGCGTCTTGCTTGGGTCCCAGAGTGCTTCATTGAGTGTAACATTGCGGATCAAATTCGCCAAGACGCGTTCACCAATGTCCGTGGCATAAGCGGCTCGGGCACCCAGCGCAGCGGCCAGCAGGGTGCATAGGCCCGTACCCGCACCCAGTTCCAAGATTGTTTGACCAGCCACGCACTCGGGTTGGCTCAATAGATGGTCACAGAGGAGGAGCGCACCACCCCAGACCTGTAAACCAACCTCGGATACTGTGCTTGCCGCATGGCAGGCGATATTAAACACCCAGTCCGGCTTGCGCGCCGCTGGCGTGCGAGTGGGCCAGAACTTTAGACGTAAACGTTGGTGGCCTGGTGATGGCGACTGCTCCAAATTGTCAAGAAGCTGCCGTTGTGATTCCGACGCGACTCTATCCTCAGCCATCCCTGAAGCTCAGGCCCGACCACCTCTGACTCTCACAAGACTGCCACGCCTCGATCTTCCCAAGTGATGGTCATCCATCCGGTTTCATCTGAATGTGAAGCACGAAATTGGAATTGTGTGTGTGTGTTCAAGCTAAAGCTTTTTGTTGTTGAAATCATTGTTACAAGCAGTGCAGTGCAGATGGACTTTGGATGAGGATGCACCCCGAACAGGGAAGGTGACGAGAGGAACATGCACGCGCCTGTGCAGGCACAGTGATGAAGAAGCGGCCACACAGAGCGCTGCTGTCTGCACGGGTAAATAATGGCGTTGGATTACTACATCAAAAAAACCGTTTAGAACAAATTTCACGTGGAAAGAAAAATTTGGCAGAGCTAAAGGGACTACGGCCTTTGCGAGCGAAGAGCCCTTGACATACCAACGGAGACACGGACGCAAACACGAACATAGGTTGCGGAAACAAAAAATGAGGCGACTCGCTCAGAACGATCAACAAATCGATAATGGCCTGCCATGGCCAAATCGTAAACAGTGTGTCATCACAGAGGAGGAGGAGACACAGCAGATGACATGGCAGAGTTGGACCAAGATACTTGAACCTGCGGCACATCTTCTCAAGCCGTTGCCTTGGCGCGCTGCGCCCGCACGGTCAAGTATTTGTCCAGCATTTTCTACACCCACAAACATTCACCGAGAGGCAACAAGTGATTGCATCTCGGAGTGACAGGTCTGAGACAAGGCAGGCGTCTGCTTCCGCTTCGCACCTGAGCCCACTGCATGAGGCGCGCCGTGTCAGCAGGAAACTCGCGTGCATCCGTTCGCATCCGAAAGAGCCGAAGAAAACGTGTCAAATCTGCCACGATCGTCTCATATTTGGCTCGTCCAGCACTGGGTCTGCGGCACCACGATCAAGTTCCGAATTATCAGAGGCAAGGTTGAGTGACACAGAGCACATCGTCAGCCAGCACAATCCCACACTGACTCAACACAGCCACAAGCGTCAACGCTCCAGCTCATTAGCGGTGATTCGCAATGTCAACTCGAAGGCCAAATTAGGTTGGCTGTCAAAACAAACTCCCTGATGAACTCACGTCTGCTCGCGCTTATACTGCATTTCCTTGAGGATGACGGCAAAGGTTCCGCGATCAGGGCGAAGCGTGTCCAGCTGGCGGAAGATGTGAGTTGCTTGCTCGTCGTCTGGCCAAGAAAGCAGCGGGGTTCATGAAAATGGGTGGATTGACATGTACATCGTCTGAAAGGCCATAGGCCACCAGGTGACACACCCAACGTGGCCACGGGCACTGCATCGATTATGTGCTCGATCGTAGCGTCGGGAATGAGGTCAATGTCCAGCAGCTTGCGCGATTTGCCAGCTGCCTTGCGCATGGTCTGCTTCCACTGTTGTCATGATTGGGATCACAACAAACAAGAAGACCAGAAAGAGTGAATGCAGCCTTGTCGTTGCAACAAGGCTATGTTAGACCGTGCCCGACCAGACCATACCTGATTCCGGTCCTTGATGGAGACTGCTGTCACGTCATCGTAGTACATTCCAGGCCTAGAGAAGAAGATGCACTCGGTCAAACAATTCGAAAAACAAAACAAAAAAACATCGACAGAAACAGCAACAAAACGGCAACCGCGTGGTCCGTTCTGCTGCCTCGCCACTCCATCTCTCACGCTCATCCCCCTTGCTCCTTCATCTCCGCGCTATATGATTGAGCGAGCAGGCCATTTGTCTCCACTTCCGGATCGCACGAAACATACTGCGGAACAGCAGTCGCCGAGGTCGAAGCCACTGGCTCATCAAAGGAAGGGCCGGAGCCGCGAGTGTCCATCGGCACGGGGTTGAGTGCAATGCTGGTGGGGGCTTCAGCCACAACTGTGACAAATCAAAATGGTCGTGGCAGTGAGTTGGCCGAGCAGGTCTGCAGCTCACCCTGAGTCCAGGTCTTCAGATGCATGTATGGCCACAAGTGCGCAACGACATTACGCACATGCAGGGCGGAAGGTTTCTCCAACCAAGTCAAACTGTCGTTTACGTCGCCGCTCAATGCAGCACAGCACAAGGGCCAACAGAATCAAAAAACCCGCCACGCCACAACCAATAATAATGTAGAGCATCATGTCTACCCCCCACGAGGTTGACAAGAGCCGGACAGAGACACACAAAGCAGTGAGGTACGAGGCGTTGCTGCTTGCTGCTTGTTCAGGTCAAGTCGAGCTCAAAGCAGCAGCAGCAGCACAGAGGGGATGATGTCCGAGAGAGTGCGCACCGTCGTCGTTGTTCTTGCTTGATGCTTCAGGCACGGATCGGCAAAATTTGCCCTCGAGAGTACTGTTGTAGCTGTGCAACACGTTTTTTTTTCATGTCAGTGAGCACAAGCATGTGGAGGCAGACCCGCGTTGGCTGCTGGGGAGTGCAGGGTCGTGCAAAGGTCTCATGGCGGTCCAGTCAACTGACAGGCTGGTGCCATCCTTGGCTTTTGCTCGACATTCGTCTCCGCATACGCCATCGTCAAGTAGCTGCAGGAAAATCATGGCGTGTGAAAATTGGAAATGAGCTCTGTCAAAAGGAACAGCATGGGGGCAGCAGTAGGCAAGCGTCAAGCCTGGGTGTACTTTGGAGTATTCACAGCGAGCGCAGGCTGTGTTGTCTGAGGTGCATTCGATGCAGAAATCGCCACACTCGGGCTTGAGGGTGACACAATAGATTCGATCGCGCACGAGCCCGTCCGGGCAGTCGGCACGACATTCGCCCTCGTACACTACACCGATGCATTTGCCGGCGTTGCAAACGCCTAAATGTTGATTCGGGACAGGGTCGTTTGGTAAAACACAACACGTTTGAGGCAGGTCGAGTGACCAACGAGCAGGAAGGCGACAGCGGGCGGGGTTACGATTTGGTTCTCACCACCGCGACACACGTCGCCAATGGTCTTGTTATTGCCATCGTCACTGTTCACGTTCAGGGACAAGTTGAGCCAGGCCATCACAGGCGGTGCACAGCGAGCACGGGGCGCGCCAAGTGGTCGACACGAACGGACCATGCAGTGTTGTCTGGCACGGGCGTTGATCCGTTGACACAAGTGTCATCAGCGCGGCGAATGCGAGGTTGCATGACGTCTATTGTGGCCGGTCAAGCATTGTCCGGTCAAGACTGGTGTGCCCGTGCGCAGCACACGCAGGTTAGCTGTTCGAGAGGCCAAGCATCGCGGCAGCCATCGTACCAGCAGCGCTGAGCGGCCACGCCGCGACGTTGGTCGGCACCAAGGCCACCAGCACCAGCAGCGACCACATTGGCCACCGTCGCTCCAACCCCTCCATCCTAAAACACCACCTGCCTGCCACGCGCACACGCGCGCGCGTACAGCCCCCTTGAGAGCCCCTCCCTCTGCCTCCGCCCCCGTATCTCGTCGCAACAGCAATGCTCTGCCACAAACATAAAATTAAAATCCCCTCCTGTTTAAAAATCGTTTGAGTGAGAGAGAGAGAGTCTTTGAGAGAGAGTTTGAGAGAGTTTGAGAGAGAGTGAGTGAGAGAGTGTGTTTGAGAGAGTTTGAAAAGAGAATGAAAGAGTCAGTACTTGTCGCAAAGCAAAACACAGAGAGAGAGAGTTTTTGAGAGACCAAAGCAGAGTCATCGTCTCGGTTTGTAGCTACACACGTGTGGTTGTGCCGGATGTGTGTGTGTGTGTGTGTGTGTCGTTGGACGTGTCAGGTGCAACGGCAGCGCCATCACTACCATCAATGACAGCAGCGGTGCTGGGCTCATGGCCTCTCTGGGGCTGTTGTGTCGGTTTGTGTTAGGGGTCGGAGGGCAGTGTGGTGGCTCTTGGACGTATTGAAGGAAAGTCTGGCAGCGAGCGGTGAGACTTGAGCTTCGCGCCAACCCCGTCGGACGTGCTATGATGGGCTGACATGACCGACTCCTGCTCGCCGCCCCTGCAGCTCTGGTGCATCAGGAATCCCAGGCCCTGCACACAACAATCGTCCGAGTAGAACTGGTCAACATGCCTCGCTACGCACAGATTATTATGGGTCCAGCTGGCTGCGGCAAGGTGAGTAGATGTGCACCGGGCGACAAGCTGATGAAGCCGAGCCCAGACTCACGTTGCTTATCGCCCTGCCCCATCTCTTTGCTGTTCCTACTCCTCATTTCCGTCTCTGTTTTGACATGTTTGCTGTGGGTGACCTGGCGCTTGTTTCGGGCGCGTGAACCCAGTCGACCTATTGCTACCACATGCAGCAACATTTGGAGTTGGCCGGGCGAACGGCGCATGTCATCAACCTTGATCCCGGTTCGCGTGCATTCCTTGTGATTGTGCTCCCGTTGCAGTTCAGACTTGGTCCAGGCACTGGTTACTCATTCTCCTCCACTTTGGCGTCCTACTTTGTGGTCTTCCCCTCCCACTTCCTCTGTTTTGCTTGTTTTTTTTCCATGTTTATCAGCGGCAGAAAACTTTGAGTACCCCGTTGCTTGGGATATTCGCGATGTCATTTCCGTGGAAGATGTGTCTGAGGTGAGCAGGCATTGCAAGCAGTGCAACGCCCGGCATTTTGGGTGCCTCGCTTTAGGCGTCGCTCAGTGTCCAACGATACTCACGTTTCATCTCAACTCAACGCAGACACTACATCTGGGTCCCAATGGCGGTCTGATTTACTGCATGGAGTTTTTACTGCAAAATCTCGAGGTACTTGTTGCCGCTGTGCGCGCAGCCTGGCTCATGTTTGCGCGAGCTGACTGGTTCGATGACTTGCGGTGGGTCGTTTTCGGTCAGGTGCTGGACGAGGCGCTAAACTACGATGACGATTACATCCTGATCGACTGCCCGGGCCAGATTGAGCTCTATACGCATTTGCCTTTGATGCGCCAGCTGATGGATCATCTCCAGAGCCTCGACTACAAGCTCGTGGCCGTTTATCTCCTCGATTGTCAGTTTATCGATGACACGGCCAAATTTTTCGCTGGTGTTCTCAGCGCCATGTCTGCCATGCTGCAGCTGGAGGTGCGTACGGGTGATACTTCTGCTCGCAAACAGACCTGAATCCCTCCGACCGAGCTAAGGATGGCCATCGGGCTGCACGTCTAGGTACCTCATCTCAATCTGTTGAGCAAGATGGATTTGCTGGGCGAAGATCGCCGCCGTGATCTGGACGAGTAAGAAGCCGTGGTTGATCAGTTTCTTCTGCCTTTTCGTGCCCCTCAAATCACTTCTGCGCAACATTTGCGTTTAGCTAATTGCTTGCGTTTGAACTCCCGCCTCCTTCCGACTACCTTTTGCTGAATAGCTTTTTGAGCGCTGATGCAGATATGCTCTTGGCAACTGCCAACATGTATACAACCGAACGCCAACAGCGCCTGAACAGTGCCATGGCCAACCTCATTGACGACTTTAGTCTAGTGCGCTTTCTTCCTTTGGATAACACGGACGAAGGCAACCTTGAGGCCATCCTGATCAACACTGACCACTGTTTGCAGTACGGTGAGGAGGAGGAGCCGCGCGAGCCCGCAGATCTGGACAACGACCGCAATGACGATGACAGTTCGTTCCCCATGTGAGGGCCTCTTCTGGCCCCGTTTCTCACGGGGAAGAACCTCGCTGCTGCTTTGAGTTTTGCGCTGTGCGCAACTTTGGCCCACCTTTCCTGTACCCTAAGCTTGGACACGAGACACGCAGTCGAGAATGTTGTTTTGTGTTGTTAAGTGTCATATGCGCGACAGCGTGTCTTATTCAGATGGCCGTGCCGGTGTATTCAAGCAAGCGCAAAAAAAAAAATTAACATGTAAAGAATAGAAATCATCCACGAAGCCGAAAGACAAAACTCGAAAGGAAAAAACGAAACAAAACATTGGCTAATCATCCAATTAAATTTAACGAAAACCAAAGCATGATTCGGCACCTCAGGAGCAGTCAGAGGGCATTGGCAATCCTTCTTTTGCAAAACTATGATTGAGCTTCACAGAAATCAATCAAATCCTCGACTTCGCCATCTTGTCGTTGGGCCCAGGCCGGTCGAAAGGAGTGCAGCTGTATGGCACCGGCCTTGGTCGTAAGTACAAGTCGATGCCCCAATTCTTTTGGGTGTGGCTGCAAGTGCAGAGCCGTCACATGGCGAGCCTAAGAACAAAAGCAACAAAAAAGTGAAATGAGGCCTGACGGCATTGGGGGAAAACAAGGTGAGACGCACAGTGCCGTCGTCTGCCGAAAGCAATTCGTTGGTGGCTGTCGGGCTTCCGTCATCGCTTAAGATGTCCCTGTGGAATGTGATGATAGCGAAGCGCCAACCCAACACCGTGCAAGACAATGCGCGGTCAGCAATCTTGTCGATCAAAGACGGGCCAGGCTAAATGCACAATCATGTCGGATCAGCGAAGTGGGGGGGCGCTTGCGCACCAAAATGTCACGGAGCCTGGTGCACAAAAGGCCATGAAAACAGTCGGGCGAGTTGGGGACCAGAGCACCCTCGAAACGGCTGCCTTTAATACCCATTGCCTCAGGGGCACCGAGGCCGTCTGCTTGAACAACACAACGTGGCCGCTGGAGAAGCTCTGGTTCACATCGAGGGGCAAGCAAGAGTGAGCGTCGAAATGGATGACATGTACTGGGGCCGTTTCGTTGCCTTTCAACTGCAATCAAACACGCTCTACAGTCGTGTCAAGGCTCGTTCAGGTCAAGGCATACCGCGAGAAAATAGCTGGGAGTCGAGGGGCAAAAGTCAATGGCCGTGCAGGAAGCCGGGCAGCTCGCCAAGAGGTTGATGTTTGCAACAAATTCACTTGGAGCCACGGCCGAACCAAAGCGCACAGCGCGCAGGATACTTCCCTACAAACACAATCATGGTAGATGCGCGCACAAGTTGAGTAGGCAACCGGCTACATGCACTTGCCACCTCCCAAAAGAAAGAAAGAATCAAAATCATAAAAACAAACAAAACAAATACGAAGAACAATCAAGTTCATTGCTCTGAAAAGCGGGATAATTTGGATACATCCACTCACATGTGTGGTACCAGCTAGAATGTGGCTGGGGTTGGATTGGGGGACTGCCAAGCAGGTAAAGGCATGCTGGGCGAAACGATGGTTCTACAACACCCGAGTGGTAAAGATTCAGATTCATGCGTTAGGCAATCCGCGCGCACAGACGAACAAGCAGGTGTCGCAAAATGACAGGTCAGGAGCCAATCATACCCGAGGGCGCACTTGCGTCCAGCCAGCACTGACCAAGGTCAGAGCGCTACCAGGGCGCAAACCTACAAAAAACAATTGTCGACAGAGCAGAAGCATGTGAGAGCTTAGCAAGCCATTCACCCTTCTTTGCAAAGCAGGTCAGGGGAACACGCGTACCCAATTCGGTGATCGAGCCGCCAGCATCCACCTTGGGCGCATAGAGGCCTGACCAGGAACCCACACAACCATCTGCAGACAGCGAAGAGAATGAGCCGACTGCCAATTGAGTATGATGGCAACTATGTGGCGGGTGGTCAAGCGGCTCGCTGCTCGAGCAAACCTTCATCAAGCGAGACAAATTGAAAGTTGGACTGCTCCTGATGATCTTCGCTCCGGCCGATGCGCTCAAGGGCCACGACAGCAGATTCATGGCTACGCGGTTGAGTGGTAAAATCGGCTCGAAAGGAGGGGTGGCGGACCGAGTACTTCTGGGTTTTGCGATGGCGACTCGTGTGCAGTGCCAGTGATTCATTGAGATCCCAAGCCAGCACAGCCCTGGAACGAGCACACCACGAAACAATCGCACGCGGCGAGGCAAAACGAGCAGCCCAGTGTATATACCAATAAGGTCACGTGAATACATGGTGCGGGCATCACGACGAGGATGGCTACTGACCCGTCAATGGTGCCAGCGACAGCTACTGTGGCTGCTTCGTTGCCAAATTTGCAGCACGTCAGCTTGTCTTGAGAGACTGTGAGCAAGTTTTGTGGAAGTTGGGGCGTCAGACCGAGGTGATGTGGGCAGTGAGCGGCGGAAACGCCACACAGCATGGGACGTCTGAGGAGAGCAAGACAATGTGAAGGCTGACCTAGTACGTGCAAAGGGACGCTCGGGCTGGACAAATCCCAGATGCAAATCAGCCCTTCGCCCATGTCGGCACTGCGCTTAGTGCCCGGTGGGGGCTCGGCATGCAGCGTCAGCAGCAAATGAGGCTTGCTGCGACACGCATCCAGAGCGACGACGTGTCGACCTAAAGTGCAGCATTTGGGTGAGATGAAAGGGACGCAAGCATCTAATCGGCTGTGATCATCCTCGTGTTGGAGCGTGCGGCATCTGCCAAGTCTGATTAAATCGGGTACGAAGCGCACCAGCCAACAGGGCAAAAGTGGGTGCCAGTGTTGTAGTATGGCCACAGGCTTCAAGGGGGCTGGTGGCTTGGCCATGGCCGCGCTCATGCTGTCCTGTACCAGCAGCGGATTGATCGACATCCTCTTGCAGCAGGGTCAAAACGACCCGCGAGGCCTTGAGCAAGAACGAATCTAAAGAAGGGAAAGCGCAAGACACCATGAGACCGGGGCCTGGGTCCTCACGGCGTGGGGCATGGTCGTTGTGCTCACTCAGGCGCTGGGCGTCGATGATGGTCTGCTCCGAGTCTGTGTCCACCTTGCTGCTGGTGGTAGCACCCACCTAAAGGTAGGTTGCACAGTGGCGCATGTGCATGAACTGAGTTGGGATCGTGCGAAAATGCCTCCAGATATCACCAAGAAAACAAAACAAAAAACAAAAACCAAAATAACCCGCCCCGCCCCCCTCAAAAAAAGTATCATTGTCTCGCTCCCAAGATTGAACCAGCGCGCGAGTTTGCGTCGTCAACGATGCTTACCTCACCCGCCCCACGCAGATCATCAGCCGGATACTGCGTCCAGCGCGTGCATGTTTCAATCTCCTCTGTTTGCATCTCGTGCTCGAGACTATGTCGAGCGTAGCATATCCAGAATCGTGAAGCAAGGGGCACGCAGGCGGGTAATGTGCGTGAGCAAGTAAGTGCTTTCCATCCAGTGTCAAAAATTCCTCTCATCATTTGGCAAATGCATGAGGAGTTCAAGTCCACGGCTAGGACATGGCAAGAGCAGACCTGAGTTCGCCACTTTGTGTGGCGGCTTGCTGGCGTCCAGACTTGCCATAGCTGCGAATGTAGAGTTCATACTCGCTACAGGGCGCGATATCAAGGAGTTGGAAGGAGCTGGTCTCGAGTGTGACCATTGCCGAGAGTGCCTGGAAAAGAAGGAAATGCCCGTCGAGGTGATGAAGAATGATGAGTCTTTTGTGCTGAATCAAGCAACTAGCGACAGTACACTACGGTGATGATTCTGGCGATGGCTCACACCTTGGCACGACGGGCGGTGCGAGCAAGTGCAGCGTTGTGACGAATGCGCTGGGAAGCAGAGCGCAGAGATTGCATGCGCGGGGAAGCCGCGCCAGGTACATCCAACAAGTGGGCCGCAGCTACGGCACTGCTTCGGGTTGGCGTCCTGAGGTCAGCAGACATGTGAGAGGTGGGGGGTTAAAGTGAAAGAAGACTGTGGCATCAGGCACGACTCTGTCATGCGCGCTTACTCGTTGCTGATGCGTAGACCTCGGCTGGTGCCGGGTCGTGCTGAGGCCGAGGTCGTGGGCCGAAGCCCACCTCGTGTTATTGTTGAGCGGGCATTTTCAGCTCGAATGGCATTGACCACCTAGGGTATCGGGTACAGTTGGCCCGTCAGGTTCACATGCGCTAGAACGGCAATTGAAGTGGTTGGCACAAGACGCATCACCTCGTCAATATCATCTGGGTCAGTTTGTGATACTACATATGAGTGGGTGGGTGGGTGCATGCCGCGAGACGCATGTAGACGAGGGTGAGTGGTAGGCGGAAGAATGCAAATTGTGAGCATCAATCGAGGCCATCTTCCTTCATCTTTTATTCAGTGTCAGAGACCCCAAACTTATGGCTCCCTGGTCTGACAGACTGACCTGTGGGCAAGCTACGAGCGGGCACGACATGTGACTGTAGTTGGCGTTGGCCGCGTGGAGATGAGGGCGCTGCGCTGGGGCGCGCGCTGGGCGGGGCAGCCTCTGTGTTGGTATCAGAGTCCGATTCAGTGCTTTGCGCTTCGGGGTCTGATGGCTCAGAGGCTGACTCAAAGTCGTCCTCATAATCGGGTTCCTCAAAGTCGTCCTCGTAGGCATCCTCGGCGGGTGCCTCTTCGACCGCGGGCTTTGGCGCCTGGCCCGGGCGAGGCCGACCGGCTTGTTCAGGGGCACCGGCCAGGCGATCGCGCCCTGGACCAGATCCAGCACTGCCGGGAGCGCGAGGCAAACTGCGCTGGCTACTCGGACGAGAACGAGTCGCTTCTGGCGGAGTATCTCGACGTGCACTTCCGGCGCGGCTGCGTTGCGAATCGGCCGAGGTTGTGCGCGAGGAAGATCGGCTGTGGGTGTCCTCGGCTTGTAGCTGTTTCAATCTGGATCCTCGCCCCGTGCTTCCAGACTGACTTGCTGCGGCGCGGGCCGATCCAGATTTTGAGCTTGGTTTTGAGCTTGGTTTTGAGGAGGAGCTTGAGGAGGGTTTTGAGGAGGCCTTTGCCTTGGGCTGTGTCGGTTTGTTTGTGCGAGGTTTGCTCCGTCGGGCGCTGCTACCGCCCAGTCCAGAGCCGTACGCTTGCGACATGTCAGCGTCGCTTGAGTGACACCACTGCAAGACTATATCACTACCAGCCCCAGACCCGCCCGCACCACTACCCACACCTCAACGAGTAGCGTTGCCTTGGTATCCTGTTTGCCTACACACGCCCTCCCCCACCTACACGGCTGAGCGAGAAGCACCACAGAGAGAGAGAGAGAGAGAAAGAAAAAAATTCCATGGTTTGAGAGAGAGAGATTTTTTTTCTTTTGGTTGATATGGCTTCTTACGGAACTGTGTTTTATAACACACTTATACCACATTTAGTATTTTACTTTAGAAATGAGTGCCATGTCCTGGTTATGATGACTGCCTTCGCTGTTGTAGCGTTCCTTGTTGTTCATGAAGGTTCCTGAACTGCAATCACAACCGAAAAAGCAACTCTTTGTGTTCTGTATCTCTCCTCTCTGCTTGTGTTGTGGTGGAGCCCTTTGCGGTCAGTGGCTCGCTTCTGGGCTCTCTCTTGGCTCACCTGGTCGATCCCTCTCAGTTTCAGGTGCAGTGGTTGCATGTTGTTCGAGTGCACATGTGAGTTTGGCAGTCGTCCGCTCGCCACCACACACAGCTGGATGAAGCGGGGCCTGGGTGGCCTTGTGGGGCGGGTGGTGGGTTGTGTGTGGTTCAACGGCACGAAGAGATCATGAATGATGTCAAAGATTTCATCGGCTGTCCTGTACCTTTCACCATGAGCCCCTGTGGGCGCGTCCGGAAACATGAGATCCGTCGTGAACTTGCCTGGTGGTGTTTCCTGAGGATCCTGATTCGTGTTCGGAGCCAGCAACTCACAGCACACCGCTGATCGCGAATGCGAGCGCCTTGCTCGCCTCCCAACATGGCCCCCTGCCCCTCACCATCCCAGCCTCCCTTCTGCTGCTTTGGCTCGATGTTGTTGGCGAGCCATTTTTTTTTTTTCCTCGGTTCCGTTGCCAGCTCTGCTAATCTTGCTCATAGTGCCGAGCTTTGCCTTTGGCTTCTCCCTTTGCAGAACGCCACCCCCTGCAACCGCTGCCTCCACACGCACACGGCGTCAGTCACAACATTCCGCAGCCATGGATATCATTGGAGAGGTTGTGGTGAAGCTGGGCATGCCCATCCTTGAGCGGGACCTCGTGCCCGACTCACTGATTCGCGCTGTCTGCCGCTTTCTCATTCGGTATGTCAATGCTCTAGCCATCGGTATCTTCCCGATGCGTGACAGTCTCATGGCCCCCCGTGCTCCAAATTTAGGGACACAATTCGCCAAAACGCGCCCGAGAGCATTGAGGAGCTGCAAGCTCGGAAACAGGCCTTTGTGGCGGATCTCAAGACGCGTGCCATTGCTGAACAAACAGGCGCTGCTAATGAACAACATTATGAGGTTGGTTTGGGAGAGATGGCCTCGTTATTTCTCGTACTCACATGTCAACCGCACTGAAAGGCCCGATAGAAGGGCAGGCACTCACCGCGTGGTCTTCGTGCCGGATGATGTTAGATTCCCACCCGCTACTACGATCTCAGCTTGGGACCCCGCAAGAAGTATAGCTCCTGCCTATGGAGCGACGGTAAGGGGCTTGACACAACTGGCTTTATGCACATCAGACCACTGACGCCTCGCTTGCGCGCATGAATGATCCTCCCCTGACTCCTTGTCTTCGCAGGCGTTACGACCCTTGCCGAGGCAGAGGATGCCGCTTTTGAAGAGACGTGCCGCCACGCTCGCATCACAGATGGTCTGCGCATCCTCGACCTGGGTTGTGGGTGGGGCTCCCTGACACTCTGGCTGGCCGAACACTATCCCAAAGCCACCATCCACAGCATCAGCAACTCACGCACCCAGAAGCAGTATATTGACGACCAATGCCGAGCCAAGGGCTACAAGAATGTGACCGTCTTCACCTCTGACATTAATGATTTTGAGGCTGAGGGCAACTACGATCGCGTCATGAGCATTGAGATGTTTGAGCACATGAAGAACTATGAGAAGCTCATGAACAAGATTACCAACTGGCTCAAGCCTGGAGGTTTCCTCTTTGTGCACATTTTCACCCACCGCGAAGCTGCCTATCACTTTGTCTCCGATGAAGCCAAGGCCGTGCGTGCTCTTGCCGTAGTTTTTGATGCACTGCTTACGCATTTTCGGAGTGCTGCGGCCCTGGCATTCACCAACTCCGCAACATGCCATGCTTGCACCACCTTAGTCAAACTGGATGGCCAATTACTTTTTCAGCGGGGGCACCATGCCTAGCATGGACCTTCTTCACTTCTTCACTGGTCCCCTGGGCTTGAAAGAACAGTGGACAGTATGTGCCTCCGCAAATCCTGGCACCGGCATCATTCATCTGCTGACTGATCCACGTGCAGCAGCACTTTTGTGACCCCCCCTCCCCCTAATGGCGACGTGGGTCGGTTTTTGTCTTGAACATTAGTGGAATGGTGGCCACTACGCCAAGACTCTCAACGCCTGGTTGGCCCTCACGGATGAGAATGCGACCGAGGTGCGCCGCCGCTTTGTTGAATGCGCATCCTGGGCGGATCAGGGCAGATGATCTGACGGAGGTCTTGCGTTTTATTAGGCAAAGGAAGCCCTGCGTGAGGCGTATGGCAAGGACTGTGATATTACCAAGTATTTTGTGTGTACGTTTCATGACTGGGTTCCTGCTAAACTGATGTTGTCCCGTTGGGGCTTTGTTGCCTTCTTTGCGAGCCAGTCGCTGCCTGGCTCTCACTCCTACCTACTAAAAACCGATTGGTTTCTTAGATCACCGCCTCTTTTTCATTGCGTGTGCGGAGCTCTTTGACCTGAACAATGGCAATGAATACTTTGTCACGCACTACTTGTTTGAAAAGCCTGTTGACACGTCAAGCACGGTCAAGCCATGATGTGGTCAATACTCCTTCATGGAAGGCTACACGGCGTACCAAGAATGACAGTGTGATAAAAACCGAAGAAACTGTTTCGTGGCTTGCCTGAAGCCCGAAACATGCACACACTCGCTCTCGAGAATTCCATTAGACAAAACTCTGAACACCAACCTATTTGGCTGAGAAATGGTCGCTAAGATGCATGCACAACGTAGGCGAGGGCCAAACTCAAAAATGAAAACAAGTGCAAAAAGCGTGCATGCCCCAAGGCCAAACACTCAACAACATAATGATCACGACGGCGTGTTTCTCAACTCTAAATCAAGCCTTTTATCAAACTGAGGACGATGATGTCTCATCTTCAAGCGGTTGGGCAAGAAGTACAGGGCAAAACGAGATATCATCACCGCATCGGAGCATGAGAACAAAAGATGAACATACACCACGCAAAAGAGGCAAATCTGTGCCACGAGACGTCATCAGTAGGGTGCACCATGTTGAGCGTCAGGTTGGTTTGTGGTGGGTGTTTCGGCATAGCCCATCATTGGTGCGGAGGGCATCGTGTTCACCGGGTAGGAGATGACTTGGTTATGAGACTGGGTCATCAAGGCATGTGAGGGCCACACGCTTGGAGCACCCGGGATAGGCAGGTTGGAATTGGTATATGGATAGCCGTGGTACATAAAGTAGTTACCAGACGGACCCGTCGGCCCGGGCATGGCGCTCATCACATGTGAAGCTCGGGCAACCCCCATGTTTCTGACGCTCGGTTCCATGAGGGCAGGTTGGCGAAATTGCTGCGACGGCTGTGTACGTGCCATGGCTACAACATTGGAGCCAGCCACCGCCATGGCGTTGTGGGATGCAGGTCCGAAGACGCGAGCAGACACGTTCTGACTGAGGGCTTGCCGCTTGGGTTCGGGATATGGCTCTCCTGAGTCTTTAGCACCCGTTGCAGCTTCAAGGGCACCTGGTGGCAGTTGGGTCCGATGTGCCGTCTCCACATGACGTGCCAGTCCGATCGAGTCAGCAAAAGTGGCCGTGCAACCAGAGTGAATACACTGCAAAGGCTGATTTCGGCGATGCGACCACTGATGCACCATCATTTGATCCTGTACACGAAAGCGTATGGGGAGCCAACGACAAAATTGTCAGAAAAAGCAAAGGTCAAAGGTCAGGTTTGGTTCGCATCCAAATGTGCATGGTATGGCAGGAAAGACGGGTCAAGGCCACCATCATGAGGGCAGACGCTTTGAGGAAGAAACGAATAAATCAAATGGTGTGTGAAGTTGGGAGAAGATCGGAACAGGCCGTTGGACTTAGGAAGCCTCGTTTTGCCAACACACCCGACAGGCAGGAAGTGCGATCAGAGGGCTAACCCCATTACACGGAAACACATCAAGAAAGTGGATGCCAGATGCCGGATGCAACGCCACAACAACAACGGAATCATTTCAAATCAAAGACGAGCTGAACTCGACTTGAGCACGCACTGACAATGGTCAGACCCCACGAGAGCAGAGCAAAGAGCACACGAAGATCACTGCCACCGCTGTTTGTAAAAGCACGTGGAGGCGGAGGCTATAACAGCAGAGCATCCGCAAAGGCGAAAAAGGCCGGGCCAAACGACTCACACGTGCTTCGTTTGACCGGGAGAGGAGAGACTTTCAATCGACAAATCAAAACAGAGCAGGTCGACACAGGTGGAGTTGATGTGACGTCGCAAGTCATGCGTAAAACACTGAGGGGGTGGCAATATACCTTGCGATAAAACTGTTTGTGGCAAATGTCACAACTGTATTCATAGCGATCTTGGTGCGACTTCTGGTGCCTGCAACGAGTGTATTCACGCGATGCGCAATGAAAGTGAATCTCAAGCAGTCTAACCCAATCAATGCCTGCGTCACAGGTGTTTGAGCGAATCGGGCGGAGCGCACCTGCGCAGATGGGTGCGTCGCTGGTAGGATTTGCCACACACATCGCAGGAGTACTTGTTGACATCCTCACTGGCATCATCGACGCTTAATGTCGGACTCGGCCGCTCTGGGTCAAGCCCCTTTGATTTAGCTGCCTTGTGCTTGGTGTGATGAGGCGTGGCATCACTGCGATCATCGATATCAACGCTATCGTGCTTTGACGAGACCTGTCATGTGTGGTGTGAGGCGCAGAGAAGGATGAAAAGAAACATGAGCTGGGGTACCGCATGTGATGTTGAAGGCACCCGGCATGTGTGAAAGCCGCCAGCTGTAACGGTTCACGCCGTTCAAATTGCATGGTATTCCAACGTACGCCTTCATCAACGTCGTGGGGGGTGTTTTTTGCCAGCACGTGCTGGGCCGACAAGGTACTGTTGGCAGATGCCGTGCTACTGGCACGCTCGGGGCGTCGCGGCTGCGATTTGGCATTCTCCTTGTGCTTGGGCAATGGGTCGAGTAATGTGATGGTAGTCTGACTGGCTATCGAGCGCGATGTTGCTGAGCCAGTGCGTCGCAAGATGTTGCTCTTGGCAGGTTCTGGGGAGCCGTGGTCTGAAGACGTGGTCGACGACGCGCTCGAGGAAGACGCGGCCATGACCGCAGAATTGGGCACAGCCCTGCGAACTCGAGAATCTGGTGAAGGAATGATGCCTGATGTAATAATGACGAATCAGGTGCGCGATCTGCGTGAAATGTCGCCCCTAGAGTGACACCAAGAGCCTATCGCTGGTGACGGCTTGATAGGTTATGTGCATGGGTATGGCTGATACACTGATAGAAAAAAAAAACGCCTCAAGCTCGAACCCTTTTGGCAAGATTTATGCGGGTCCACGACCGTGGCGACGGCAGACAACAACTGCGTGCAGATTTCGGGGTGCGCTCTAAAGCGAGCATGAAAGACAGACGAGCGGAGCGAGGGCGGTACAACGCTCACGTGGGCTTGCTCAAGTCCCAGGCCACAGGCATTCGTGGTGCGTAGAGCACGCGTATGCGTGCGGCAGATGTATGTCTGGGCAGCGCAAACGGCAGCCACAGCCTCAAGGGATATTGCAAAAGAGAGGCAAGAGAAAAAAAAAAAAAAGGAAGGCACACCGCCCGCAGATCTTTGAGCTTGCAGAAAAACGAACGGGGTGCTGTCAGAGACGAAAGGCAGCCCGGCTGACAATGGAGCGAGTCGTCGTAGTTGTTGGAAAGCCAGGCAAGGCGGCGACCGTTGGAGAGGGGACCAGGATGTCGCCGTTCAGCATTTGCTTATGCTAGACGGACGAATGGCGGTTGGAGGCGACGAGGGGGGAAAATGCATCTGCGATTGGATTGCAAACTAGAAAAGGGCATCGAGAGAAGCCGGCGATACCATCCAGTCTCGTCATGCAAGAATAACCAAAAGGGGGCTGTCGTTGCTGCGACTGAGGGCAGAGAGTTTTCATTTCCACCTCGAGCAAAATAAGCGAAGACGTGTGGGTGATGGGCAGGACAACTCCGGGGAAGCGGATCGGGACAATGTGAGAGGAATGACAACGTTGCCGACTGTTGAGTGGGGCAAATGTCCGATGAGCCCCCACCCGCCTCCTCGCCGTGAACCCGGGAGACCGAGAGAAGGAGGTTGACGGCACAAGGGCGTAATGTACGGCGCGTGATTGTGGGATAACGCAGTCAAACGCCAGTGGGGCCCAAGACCAAGAGCGCAAATGGGTGGGAAGAATGCACACGACGATGGGCATGTGCCGAAAAGGTACAGGGTCAACGAACAAGAAAGGCAACCACGGTTAGAGCCGTGGGAGTCACCCGCGGAGCAATGAGGTGTTTGTCGTCTTTACCACTGCACTCGGGGGGCATGCATGGTTTGATGATGGGTGACCGAGATGGAGGAAGGAAGGAAAACTGGGAGCATCCGACTCAAACTGCTTGGTCAGGCCTTCAGTGCTGAGGACATGCGCGGTCGACGTAGCGGTTGGCGGTGGCACAAGGATGGGAGGAAGGGTTGGATGGAAGGGAGTGGCACCGGGAGGCCTGAGGCAATCAGCAGGGGGTTTCCAAGTGGGCACCGCATCCAGTGCGCGCGAGGCTCTTTCCCTCTTTCGGCCAGATCAGGAAACATACAACGGAAGAACCCAACGGGTGGGGACCTGCGGACACTGACCCGTGGCGCAGTCTCCCTCAACCTCTTGACTCTCTCTGAAAAAGTGCCTCCCTTGGGTGGGTGTTCTGATCTTTTTGTTTTGTGTTTTTTATTTTGTCGTGGGACGGCGCAAGCTGTGCGTGCTGACGATGCCAGTCAGCGCGATCAGTGATTCAGACGGGCGGGCGGGATGGAAGGTGACATGAGTCGCCTGTTTTCTGTTTTCTTGTATGAGCTTGCCACTCGCGTCCCCCATGCCGGGGAAGCTCCGTCAGAGTCTTACGAAGAGCTGACGGTCGGTGTCCAGAGATTGAGGTCATCCCAGATACCTCAGTCAGCAAGAAAGGTGGGAAAGAACGAGGAGAAGAAGGAAGAGGAGGAAGAAAATGAAGAGAAGAAGAAGAAGAGGAAGAAGAAGACGGATGGATGATGCAACACACCTTTATTCTGAGGAGCAGTGGTCGCGAACGTGCTTGGCCACGCCGTGCAGCCATGGGTCGTTTGGGGTGGGCTTTGTGTGTTCATTACATCACGCTCTGCCCCGCGCGAGACAACGAGATTGGCAAGCAAGAATCCAGGTCCAAGCGGTCAGCGAGGCGGTGACACAAAAACTGTTTTGACAGATGGACCGCTTGCTGGGCGTGTGTGGGCTATGTGCTGTTTTGTTCAAGGAGTTAACATCCGCTACTTCAACGGCACGAGTTGCGATCGAACGATCAGTTGCAGAGCGACATGCCCAAGAAAGCACTGTTCGGGCATCCGGAACATGATGATGCGGCATCCCATAGCGCTTTTGGCTGCCGATAATGGCTTGCAACAAGTGCTGATGCCATGTGTCAGCTGCGTGATGGACTTCCAACACGTTTAAACGATCGAATCGTAGCTACACCATTTTAATCGTTGATCACAATGACCCATGGCCCCAACCTAGTTGATCCACACAACCACTCGGGATGCGTTCATGATGGGTATGACGTTGCGAGTTTTGAGTGTATCTGACGTTGTCAAACCCATGCACCCACATCTTTCTGCCCAGTGGACTCGGCTGCAAGAACACACAGATTCAGAGTAAGTGCGTTTGACTCGGCTCGATTCGAGATAATCGGGACGCGTCAAGCTCTCACTGGCCTCTTTGACGAGTCGGCCAGCGCAGATGCGCTTCCACGTTTTTTTTTTTTTTTTTTTTTTTTTCAATTCAAGTCATTTCCAGCGCGCGCTTGGGTCTTGTTGGAGGCTCGAGCATTTGTCATTGGGCGACATAAGCAAGCTACCATTGACAGCACGAGCAAGAAGGGGTGGGGGTCGGGGTAGGGGTAGAGAGAGAGAGAGAGAGAGAGAGAGAGAGAGAGAGAGAGAGAGAGAGAGAGAGAGAGAGAGAGAGAGTCATGATGTTGGTTTATGACAACTGCCCTATCACGGTGTACGATTAGTTGAAGGAAAAGATAGGCATAGAATTGCATGTGAGTTGACAACTTGGTGAGAAAGGAAAAGGAAACAAGCACTTCTTCCTTTCAAGCATGCCTCGTGCCCAGACCTGTCTGGACAAGAGAGCATTGTCCATGTAGAAGAAATTTATGATGATGAGAGAAGAGAAACAGAAAAAAAGAAAAAGAAAAAAAGAAAAGAAAAGGCCAAAGAAAGAGATAACATGGCCAACGGTGTGCGAATGACAGTGATAGTCATGACACCAATGTGGTAGTAGCAGTAAGTATTCTGAAGAGACCGAGCAAAAATCAAGATCGAGACTGAGACAAAAAAAAAATCAAAAAAAATCAGAAGCGCCCACGCATGTGTGAAGCACGGGGTCACAACGAGCGGCAGACAAGCTCAGAAATGAGCAGAATCAGGCTCACACATTCACAGGCAGCCATGATCACATGTATAGATACATGCAGCGTCCAGTCGAAGCAAAATCACCCATCAAGAAAGGCACCACCGTCAAGCCACGCCTCAATAGGCACTCATGCCAACATATCTCCGGCTAACGCGGCCCATGATGCCTCGGAATCCCGCTCTCGGGCCACGAGGCGCGATTTCCGCAAGTTCTCACGCGTCGGTGGTCGCCGCTTTTGCGGCCGCTGAGCCGCCTTGTTTGGCACGCGCAGGAGCGCAGATTCGCGGGTAACCGCACCAATGTCTTCAGCTGATATCGTCTGTGCTTTAGTCGAACCTCGTAAACTGACACGAGAAGGCTTTTTAGCCCACGGGAGGCGGAACCCTGTCCTTGCCCGATGGCTTGGGTGCCGGAGCAGGCGCAGCATCAGGATTCGCATCGCTCGGTCCACCGTCTGTATCTGTCTCGCCGACTTGCTGCAGACGCAGCTTGGGCAAGGTCTTCTCCTTGGCAATAGACAAGACCAATGCCCGGTCACTGGTGTCCAAACGCTGGCGTGCCAGAATCTCTCGAGCAGTTGGGCCCACCGTCTGCAGTCGCTGCCGACGTGCGTTCGTCTCCTCAGCATCGGCGGCTGCAGCGCCGTCCTCATTGTTGGCAGCATCGTCATCGGGCACTGTCTCTGGCTCGGCCTCACTGGCCTCACCCTGACTGTTCTGGCTGGCGCTGCGGCGTCGCATCGAATCCGAGAGCGTGGGTGTTTCTTGTTGCTCTGTGTGATAGGCCAGGGCAGCGGCCACCACTGACTGATGAGCCAAGACAATGTCCACCACCTGATCCTGGGTGCGATCTCCAGTGCGAACCTCACTCATCAAGGCTGCCCGATCTTCGTCACCCATGGTCAGATCTTTAGCGCGAAAGCCGACGTTGACTACCTCGGTAGTTGCGGCAGAAGAAAGCACAGGGCCAGCCACCTTGAGCTCGCTCACTGCACCACTGCTACTGCTACTAGGCTCACAGGCAGTCGAAGACTTTTGGCGAAAGAGGCGGCCAATCAAACCCTTGCGCGGACCGCCCTCATCCTTAACGTTGGAGGATGAGCGCGCGCGGCGAAAGAGCCGAAAACGCCGTGGCTTGTCATCCTCTGATCCGCCGGTACTCGCACTGGCGCTCAATGTCTGTGTCGCAGCCCTTGGCTCTTCCGCCGTCACCTCATCCTGCAACTCCTCTTCATCTACAGAAGCTGGAGAACTTGCAGCTGCACAGGGCGCGCTGCTCTCGGAGGGCGAGGCGTCTGTTTTTTCAGTCGGCTCACCGTCCTTCTCGGCTATGTCTTCGACTGCTCGCTCAACAGGCTCCTCATCGTTAGCTGCCGCGTCGGCAACCGGCGATGGCTCGGCTGCTGGCTCTGGCGTCGAGGCATCATCTCCGCCCAAACACGCCTCGGAAGCTGCCTTTGAAGAAGTTTTGGAAGTGTCGCTGGTGTTGCTGGTGTTGCTGGTGTTGCTGACGGCATCTGCGGGCTTGCTACTCAGTTCACCGGAAGCCTCGGCGGTGGTATCGGCCGCTTCATGTCCAATCTGAGCGGGAGGCAGCGCATCAGCAGAAATGGGTGTATCGTCTGACTGTGCTTCCTCAATTCCACCTGCTGCTTGAACAGGTTCGTCGCTGCCATCAGCCGACGAATCTGATGGGGTAGTAGCTTCGAACACACGTGTCACCGGCTCGGCAGCTGGATCGGTTGAGGACTCGAGCGCTACCGCACCCAAGTCGACGGCCAGCATCGGCTTGGCGTTACCTGCGGCCAAATCCTCGGCCAGATCATCCACAGAAAAGCCAAAATCCTCCTCTTCGCCTGGCTCGCCCGTCTGGGACTCGGCGCGGGGCTCAGCATTGTCCTGAGGCACGGGCTCCTGCTCGGCCGACGCTTTGATTTCATCCGCCGCGGCGGTGGTCCGCTCTTGGTTCTTGTCCGCCATGCCTGGTTGCGGCACCAGATCCCCAGGTCCCCAGGTCGCCTCAGAGGCCAGGTAGGCTGGTGCAATCAAGACTTGAGTGAGCGGCACTCGGGTCTCTTCATCGTCTTCGAGTGTACAACACGATGCGGGCGGGGCTGTCGAGCCTCGCACGTACCTTCTTTCCTCCAAAAGACCTCTCAAAAACACAAAACTTGGCCGCGGTGGGCTGTTCGGCCCCAAAGCCCTGCGCCACCAGAGAACAGGCGCGGCGCAAAAAAAGATCTACGCAAGAGGTCTTGGCTACAAGCGGCGTTACCCCGAGGGGAGGAGGCAGAAAGTGCGCAGCCAGAGAGTTTGATCCAAAATGCCTGTTTGGTGCCGTCGTTTGTCCGAGCCCAGCTCATCGTGTGTATGAGGCGGTGGACAATCCGGCTTGTGGGTGCAAGTATGACAATCTGACAATATGTAAGACAAAATGAGCATGTTGTGTGTGTGTGTGTGTGTGTGTGTGTGTGTGTGTGTGTGTGTGTGTGTGCTGCTAAGCGGTGCGAAAGACATGAAGGTACCCGTGCCATTGCTCGTTTTTGAACGGGAAGGACTGAAAAAAAAGGAAAAGACTGGAAGAGTATCGGCTTGGAAAACTGACTGCCGCATCGCTTACCACTCATTTCTACACCAACCTTGGTGTCGTATGCGGGATCACCACTAGGGCGTGCTGGCTATGGAAAGAGGTTACGACACGCAGTTGGCTGTAGCTCATGCATTATCTTCTTTGTGTGCGGGTCTCTCCATCCTCCACATCACACGGGGGTTGCCGAGTCTACCTTGGACCTTCTTTCCTCCAAAAGTCAGGTGAAGCAGGGAGGTCTTGGCTGCCAGAGGGGAGAAGTGTGCAATTTAAAAAATACCATCAAGGCTCAAAATGCCTGTTTGGTATCATCGTTGGACAAGCCCAGCACATGACGTGTGCTTGGCGCTTCGCGTGACAGTCAAAGCAGAGGATGTCTTGTCAAGCTAGCGCAGAATATCGCAGCAGTTTGGGACTCGGGGCAAGGCAATGGTTGGAATTGGTCCAAACGCCTTTCCCATCAACATCGCTGCAAATCATGAATCAAGCTCCAAACGTCCCTCCAAAGGAAGTCTCCACTGTTTTGCATGAACCAGTGCGCCCGCTTCCTAACGATGCTACCCTGCGGCAGCTTCCAAGCGACCGCCTCTGTTCTCACAGCCGAGACATCACGCCTGCCAGTTTGACAGTCTTGCTGCTTGGCATGGAGCCTTTTGGTGAGGAGGTTGCAAGCAGGGTCAAGCGGTTAACAGCGTTGGGGGAGGGGGCTCGAATGGCAAATGCAAGCATCATCAAAGCCCACGTGATTGGGCTCCCTTGCTCGTTCCCTTTTTGGCTGGTGATGTTGTCGAACCTGTCCTCATTGGTGCAGTCGAATTTCATGTGCAAGGGCACTTGCCTGGCCCGCACCATCGGCGCATGCGACCACACAGGATGTTGTGCCTGATCCTAAATGGGACAGGTCACACACACGTTCCTTACTTCTTCGATCACATCATGCATGATGTCATACAAAGAACACCAAACCGTCTACCAACGGATTGGGCCATAGGCAACATCTTGTCGTGTGCCTTCCATAGCAAAAAAAAGGAGACAAGAGGAGAAACAGGAAGGGTCGCTATGGGTATGATGGGGTCAACGGTCGTCGAACTCAACTAATGTGTGCCGACGTGACTGCTTGATTCGGCCAGTTGTCGTGAGAATTCTCAGGCCAGGTCCCAACACATTCTACACGTGTGAGGATTTGCGAACAACTCGCTGTAGCACACCTTTTGGCGATTCACGACTGCAGTCGTAAGGTTTCGCCACCTGAGCCTTCCTGGGAGAAGAAAAGTGTCAAAGGCAAATGTATTCGTCGGACTCGGATTCACGTTGTTGCGAGACACGTGCAACTGCCTATTTGCAGCCGAACCAGTGCATTTTTTAAATTTCACTTCTTTGGAACAATCCACGCTTGACACAAGCTGACCCCCTTCCTTCAGTGACTCGAGTGCACCTTTAGTATGACCGACTCTGTCAAAGTGAGCCGCCGGGACGCGTGCCCCATCTGTCTGGATGTCTTAGTGCCCACGGGCAGTACGCCGCGGTCATCGGGGGTTGTGCGTCTTCGAAAATGTGGCCACCATTTCCACCGAAGTTGCATCGACGATTGGCTTCAGCAGGCCTCGACCTGCCCCACCTGCCGAGTGCAGCACCCTGAGCTGCCCATGGCCTGTTTGTATCTTGGCACCATCACCATGAACAGCTGTGATGCACCGCCCATTGGGCAACTTGCCAGTGAGGTGGACAACTTTGTCGAGGCGGCCATTCAAGCCAATGACTTTAGGTTCGCTACTACTGTGCCCCGTGCGCGTCGCTTCATCTAAATTCCAGAGAGCTTGACCTCATCGCCTCCAAATTGTGCCCACTTGTGTTGTTCACCGGCGTTGCTTTCAGTCAAACTCCCAAGCATAGCTTGCGTTTGCGCGGGGCCCGTCTCCAAGTTTTGGCCCCACCGGCCGCTTCGGCCAAGACCGACAACCCCGCCACGCTCTCGCACATGCTCGGACTTCGGCTCAACAAGCTTCTTGTACGCATCGCGATAACGTCATCTCTGCCCTGTCAGATGTCATTGAGTTCTTATTTGTTTGCTACTCGGCAAGAACGATGACCAAGGTCCAGGCTCATCCTCCTGTACATTATTATTTGGTTTCCTACTCCTTTTGTGCCTCTTTGTGTGGGGATAGAGCTACCACTCATTGGATCAGGCAACCGTGGTGGTAGAGCGACACAGCAGCCAAAAGACCGACCGCTTCGTGCATCACATTTTCCAGTTTCAGTCAGCTCTGCAAGCGAGTCGCTGTGTGGACCGTCTGCGCGATGCCAGCGCAGCCATTCTCGAGAAATATCAACAGCGAAGCGCCTCGCACCGGGCCTCCAACAGTTCTCTCGCTTCTAGCTCCAGCGCTACAGCCAAGTTAGCACGCTAACCAGCAATAGCACGGCTAGCAACAGCAACACCAGCGCCCATGCCGGCATTGGTGCCGCCCTGACTGCCTAGACAGCTCCATTTCCAAGAGGGTGTGTTTAAGTTGACCCTCTCTTCCAGCCATGCAGCGTATGGAACCCCAGACGTGCCACAAGAGGGCTTGAGCCCACTTGCTCGACTATTCTTTGACTTTTTTTTCTTTCTTTCCCAAAAACGCATTCTTTGCGCCTGATATCTGGATGTTGACCACGAATCTTCGTCCTTCTTTATCTTCGTGGCCCTCGCTTAGCGATTGAATCGCTCTCCCCGATGAGTATCCCGCCGTCTCTTGACTGCGCACATATGTGTGCTTTGATAATTGATGATTTGAACTCGAACCTTTGTTCTGGAATTCGGCAAAACGGCCCCATCTCTGCATCCCATGTCTGCTTTCGAGCAAATTGACCCTCGAACGACTCGATTAGCCACAAAAGTCACAGACTAGATGTGGCTGGCCGAAAGCCCACACATGTATACGTCGCGAATACCAACACAAAATTGCGCACACTGGCTCCACTGAGACCAGCGAATGAAATATTGACACATTGCCCCATGCGCAAAACCGAGCCGTCACTCTTGGCACGCAAGGGGCTTGAAAATGGACGATGACCGACTGACAGGGCCACAAGTGTGGCAGCAAAATCAAGCTATACGAGGCGCTAGTGATGTTGCCCACCTTTGACAAGCTTGAGCTGGAAAAGGGCGCTGCCCGTCTGCGTGACCTCATGGGGCAAACACGCATTGCCTTTTGCATCTACGCCCACACCCTGGGCGCCATCCAGGGAGCGCAGGATGACGAGACCGTTGGCGTATTGCATGGCCTGAAGTTCGCAAAACTTGCCACCATGTCCTAGTTGCGAGATTGAAGCACACATGTACGTGCAGGCAGCAGAGGGCGTGCCCCAATGAGGGCCGATACCTGTGCACATGGGGCGAATCTCATCATCTGAGCCAACACAACAACGCTTCAGGCATACCCGATGTCAACTGCCCGCCTTTGAGGGCCAGGAAACGATTGGGATTGTGTGCACTGCGCAGTCGTAAAAATCCCGCTGGAGATGGATCCACAACAAATCGCGCATAGGTGCCACCTGTGCCCCGACCGTCCACTCGTCCGCCGTCCAAAATTCGAAGATCCTTGTGCGAGGCCTGGCTCGTCAAAATGACAGTCTTGTCTTTGGGCAACCGGTCCTGTGCCACCGGCTGCAGAGGCCCCAGGTCCTCTGAAGTGGCATCCTCCTCCTCCTCATCTGAATAGAAACCTGAGCGATGAGTGCGAGTATGCACAGGGCCAATTTAGCGAAGGGCAAGCGTGAGGGAGAGATGAGGAACGAAGTCGCAAGAAACAGGGCGCTTGGGGGTACCGACATCGCAACCTGTAATCGCCGCCAGCCACGAACCTGAGTGCGCAGCTTCCGAATCTGGGCTGAGCAGGGCTGGGGTGGCTCCACTCTCGCTCACAAAGGAAGCCAAAATCTTGTCGTCGCGGAGCCGCACGTGAGACGGTGTGATTTCCAACGTATAGATGATGTTCTTTGGTGGCACATTGACGCTACATCGGGCACAAGCCCCGCTTTCAAGTACAAAAAGCATTTCATAGCGCAGCTTGAAATACTGATTGCTGCGCGTCCCCACCATTTGGCCCGATCCGCGAGCAGGGACGACCGTGTTGGCAACCTCGCCCGTTTTTTCGTAAAAACCATCCTTCTTGGCAATCAGCTGTCCGGAGATCTTCACCACCTCATTGGTCCTGCAGGTAAGATCACGGCCCAGAATGAGCGGAGCAGTCCCAATGTGATTGCAAGTCGGGCTCGAACTGGTGCACAGGGTCACCCACTCTCCGGGGTGGGGGGTCGGGCCTTACTGGTTGCTGAGGAAGATGGTCGACGTGCCTTGGCCCATCGTGTCGATTGTCACAGCACTTGCAGCCGCCTGCGGCTCCTTGCAGGCCTCACCGTAACCTGTGAACCTTGTTCTTGAATTCGAATCTGCAGAGGGAGCACACGGCTCTGCTTGCTCGCCCGCACAATCACCGTCACAGCACGATCAGCCAAACCCAACCGCCCCTCCCCCTCTCTGGCAAATGGCGTCTGCACACACGCACGCTGTTGCTTCTGCTCAGTCGTGTGTGCTGTGTGTGTGTGTGTGTGTGTGTGTGTGTGTTACTGTCTCTGTCTCTGTCTGTCTCTGTCTCTGTCTCTGTCTCTGTCTCTGTCTCTGTCTCTGTCTCTGTCTCTGTCTCTGTCTCTGTCTCTGTCTCTGTCTCTGTCTCTGTCTCTGTCTGTCTCTGTCTCTGTCTCTGTCTCTGTCTCTGTCTCTCTCTCTCTCTGTCTCTGTCTCTGTCTCTCTGTCTCTGTCTCTCTCTCTCTGTCTCTCTCTCTCTCTGTCTCTGTCTCTGTCTCTGTCTCTCTCTCTCTCTGTCTCTGTCTCTGTCTCTGTCTCTCTCTCTCTCTCTCTCTCTCTCTCTGTCTCTGTCTGTCTCTCTCTGTCTGTCTCTCTCTCTCTCTCTCTCTCTCTCTCTCTCTCTCTCTCTCTTTCTCTCTTAATTTTGGGTATGGTCACTGCATTCGCACATTTCCTCCTGATTTTTTTTTTTCCCCTTCTTCTTCCCTTGCGTTTGTACGCTGAGAGATTCTGTGATTTGGCAGCGCCGCGGTCGGCAACGGATAGGTAGTATAGATCATAGGTGTAAGAGCATCGGTCTGAGAGTGAGCGGCTTGCAGTCAAGAACTTCAACGCCACTCAGCTGCTTGGATCAGAGCCCGTGACGCTGTTGTGTTAAGCCTCTTTCCTTGGCCGAGCCCCGACCTGTTCCAAAACCATTGGCACACTGGCTCGGGTTCCATTTCATGCCAGCCGTTGATCGCAAGCCTTTGTGAGACTGTGCGCCGCCCGAACCCGCACGTGGCGATATCATGAACCGTATTCAAGTACCCCGCGCTGAAGCGGATCGCACCACATTTTTTGGACTTTCTGTGCCTACATTGATCAAGCGCCTTCCCAAATGGTTCGAGGCGGCTCAACTCGACCAGACCAAGACAGGAGTCCTCTTTCAAGGTAGGTGCATGTACAAATGATGACGCCGCAATGCTGGCGCACTTGGAGCACAGGGCAAAGCAACCGTGCCGCTCCCCGCCCTCAGCCGCGGGTGGCCCCTCACGCTTTTTGAACACTCTTGGGGGATACAGCGGCCCGTCAACTGGTGGAAACTCCGGATCAACCAACCACCGACTTGGCCACCCTGGCCGAGCAATTGAGCCTGTCACAGGTCAGTGCAAGTGCAAGGGGTGAATTGAACCTGAGTTTGAAAAGAGACATGATGCACTCATTCTGGACCGCCACTACCCCCTAACCTCGTTTCACCACATCATCGCGGCACCAACCTGCATCGGTCCCATCTTGGTGCTAGGTGGACGCGGGACAATTGCTGGCAGCCACCCGCTTGCTCTTGGCTGAGGTCGTGCGCATTCCGCGGACTTTTATGAAGCGACAGGCGATGTCTGATGACTTGGACTACCTGCACGTTCCCTTGGAGCTCAAAACAATGATCCTCAAGCTAGCCTACAGTGAAGCGTAGGTTTCCCTCACTCCGCGTCTACAAGTCTTGTAAGAGTTGGCCCAACATTCCCGCTTACGTTTCTGCATACGGATCGCGGGCTGGTGTAATCATGCTGCAGGCGAGAAGCAACCGATAGTTCGTTGGTGGCCCAGCAGGGCTCTCGTGCTCGCCTCGTCGATGTGCAGTGGCGCGTAGACGTGGCCGTCTCCACCAGGTTGGCTTGTGTTTGTGTTTGTGTTGGTCTTGCCAAGTTGGCCACCTGCTCCTGTCTTCTCTCATACCCGGGCCGTCTTGTATTCAACCAGTTCGATGAAGCGATCCCTAGTGCCGACGGTACTGATGCAGCTGACTCTCAGTGATGGCACATTGCGGACCTTTGAAGCACCCGTGAACCAGTTTCACAAACTGCGCTACACCGCTGCCGCCATGCTCAAGGTGCGATCACACTTGCCCCTTTTGCATGCACTAAACGTCTTGCCTTGCCCATGCTCCTCAGTCAAGACACCGGTGCACCACTCGCTCACCCGCTCTTGGTTTTGTGCCTCATCACCGCTTTTGATCATGGGCAGGAGTTTAATGATATGGAGGCAAAGCCCGTGTTCCAAGCGTGAAACTCGTGGTTGCCATCTTGTTCCTATTCTTGCTGTAGTCATGTGTGGTCATGTGTGTGTGTGTGTGTGTGTGATGGGGCTTCTCAAACCCTTAACCACAGGCAGCTTGCCTGGCTTGAGCCACATGCCCGCTCTGGTTCTTTTTTTAAGAAATATGTGACACAGGTGTTCGTTGCTGTTTCAATTCCTACGCGTGCAATGTAATTCCAGCCACCTAGTGTACACTCGGCCCGCCTGCACAGACATGCATACCGCTAACATGCACAAGACACACATTTCCACAAGGATAATCAAGCCGTGGTGCAAGGCACGGGCGAGACATTGGGTCCAATCTCAGGCTGAACATGCGCGCACTTGCTGGCGTTCTGAAATGCGGTGACGGTCACGTTCTCAAATCGTAGGCCTGAGAGATGGCACGCAGGGCTTTGGTCAAGTCCAGCGAGCCAGCAACAATCGGATCAACCATCAACGAGGAGCGGTCTTGAAACGAACCGGCACAGCTATTGTCCTGCAGGCATTCAAGCTCAAACGCCATCTTGACATTGTTGGCAATGACGTTCTGAACAAGAATATCGCTGAAGTTGGGCAATGCATCACCAACGCAGGTGACCGAGTTGTAGTCTTGGTTGATCAGAACAGCAGTGTCAACCGAGTCGATAACCATATTGCGATAGGTCACATTGCGCACGGAGCCACCGCGACCCATGCAAGTTTTGACGCGCACGCCATTGGTGGTGCCTGAAAGCTGCAATCCCAAATCAGCCGCAGCAGGCGTCCGGGGCATTGTCAACGCAGGGGAAGAGAATGGTCAAACGTTACTGGCGTTTGCAAGCACACGCCAGTAATTCAGATGGCCAGCATCGTCGACAAACCGTCAGATTATCAAAGAGCACATCATAAATGCCGCCGGACATTTCCGAGCCGATGGAGATGCCGTGACCTGTGGTGCAATCCGTACGAATTTGGCCACGGCACAAGGCATATGAGCCAATTGCAGTGGCGTCATAGTCTCGGCCAACACGTTGAGGCACATGACCTACCACGGCCAAAGGTCATGTCACGAATGGTGACGTTGGCCGTTGGCATGTTGATGGCTAGAGCCTGAGGGCCGCGACCAGATTTGATGGCAATGCAGTCATCTGCATTGAGTTTGCGTTGTTCATGGAAAAGCACGTTAGTACCATGTTGGAGACTTTTTGCCAGGCACACACAAAGGAAGACTTTGGAGTGCATGAAGGCCCCTGTTTTGGTCCAAGGCCCACACCCATACCTACCACCGGTGGAGATGTAGCATCGCTCCACAAGCACATTCTGGCACGAGTCGGGATCCACGCCATCAGTGCTGCGACGGCACAACGGTGAGTCGAACCACTCCCAGGATGATAAGGCTTGAAGCAGAGACGAGGGTGGGTCCAAGAACGCAGAAAAAGGAAAAAAAAAAGTTGGAGTGTTCATGTAAGAGCCTGCTCACTTGGGTCCCGAGGTAATGATACGCAAGTCATGGATGTGAACGTTCTTGCAAAAGGCTGGTGCCACGGTCCAGAACGCTGGGTCCGTCAATGTGAGATCTACCAAGTCCGTCGTCAAACACTGTGAACAGGAGCCGGGTGGTTGGACCTCGTCATGCTCAACGTCTCGCGCCTACTCTCTACGCACCGGAGAGGTAGAGGCCATCCACCCACATGGGGGCTATGAGCATGGGTCGATTTGTGAAGGAGCCGTTGAGGTAGGGCGGGAGATACCACCCAGAAAAGCCATTGCCGTCAATAGTGCCTGCACCCGTGATGGTGATGTTGCTGTAGCGCGACCACTGTATTTGCGGGCGTGACCCCAGATCAAGCATGAGCGGGAAGCACATCCAAGTGCAAGACTAGGAGGCACGAGCAAAACCAAAGCAGAAAATAGAGTTTCTCCAACACACTACCTCGGCGCACTGATCGCCAGTTTGGTTGGTGCTGTGAAACGTCAAGCAGGTGCCAGCATTGAGCAGGGCGGCCCGCGACAGTTCCAGCACGCCTGCATTGCGACGGTAAATCTAGGCTCACGGGGCCAGTTTTGTGACTGTTGATCAGTACACAGACAAAGCAAACGTGAAACAAGGCAGGCTTGGCAAGCCACATTCTCACCTGGGGCCAGTGCACAGTGCTTTTGTTGGCAGTCCCAAGGAGGCGGACGCCCGCCGTCACTTCAAATATGATGTTGGACTGTGCGATCAAGAATAATTTGTGGAATAAGATGAGGGTTGAGCGATGGGTGCCGACAAAGGACAAGGCATGGAAGATCCGCGTGCAGTCGTGTACTTTGAGGAACAGGCTGCCTGTAAGGTAGATGCCCTTGTCAAGGGGACGCAACAGCACATGGCCCCCTTCTGGGCAGCGACTGCACGCCTCAATGGCTGTTTGAATAGCATGGGTGCTGATGCTCTTGTTGTCATCCCGTGCTCCGTAGTCGCTCACATCACATATGCATGCTCGAGTCGTGCCCAGGATCAGAAGGAACAACGCACACACGAACCCCAAGGGACGCCAACTTGCTTTGCCCCGCGCTGCCATTTCTGTTCTGTGTCAGTCAAAAAAAGAAAAAAGAAAAAAGAAAAACCGGAACCAAAATTTGTTTTGTTGATGTTTTGCTTGTTTGCACACAATTGGGAAAGAAAGTAAAAATATCATGCATGTGGTGTCGCTTCAAAAAAGAGGTACGGTAAGTGGCGGTGGCGGTGACAGTGGCGGTGACGAGGCAGGGTAGTTCGTCTTTCAATTCGCACGTAATTCGGCATCACGCTGATTCCGTCTGTGAGGCTGCTTGAGACTGGCGTCGGGCAGGCTGGAGAAGGGATTCAAAAGTGGTCACGACGTCCTCCAGCTTGGCAGACAGGGTCAGGTCTAGAACGGTTCCGCCACGCAGGTTGTTTTGGTCGAGAATGGGCCACGCGCTTGCCAAATCAACCAGTGCCTGTACGATGGGTGAAGCAAGGCTGCGACTGGCGGCAAATGTGACACAGGTTTCCTTGCTGTTGCTACCCGGAGCAATCAGACAGCTCGGCCGATGAGGCGTCATGCCTTGCAAGTAAGGTGCCATGTCTTGTCGCTGACGCTGCGTGAGTTGAGTCCAGGCCAGGCCGACAACCAGGTCAAGATTGCCATGCAACGTCGAAATTTGGGCCATGGCGCAGGCCTGTTTTCGCCACCGTTGGTGCCATGAACCGTTCTCAGTATATGGCTCCAATGCCGGAACACTGCGCACTGAGGGAGTGGGAGAGCGAGAGGGGTGGCGTAGAAAGACCAAGCGTTTAGAGTTGGAAACGTGGGTGTCTTATGCAAGTCATCACAGACAAGGGTCAGCAGGACGCGCATCAAGACTGAGAGTTCAACGTACAGAGCCACTTTGGGGGTAATTGGCTGAGTAGAAGTCGAATAATCGAGTCGAATCCATGCCTGTCAGGGGAAGAATGAAGTGAGCTTCCAGGGCTACAGCAGGCTTGAGGACGGGTGGGTTGCAGAGACACCAAAATGGCGCCTGTCGCCTGGGCACTGACCGTCGACTGAAATGCATCAGCACGACGCGTTCATGTTGCGCCGTCTCGAGATATGAACAGAGCTATTTGGGGCAAAAACCATGCCATAGCATCGAGGAACTTGAATTGAGCGTGGTACATCATGGTCACCTCGGATACGAGACGTTGCAAGCAGGAGGTGGGCCTGCCGCACCTGAGGGAGATGAATATGCATCGTATGCTCAATCTTCTCCGGTGCCACCTCCCATCAGCGTCAAAGGGCGAAAAGCAAGCAGCAGCAAGCAGCAACGACAGCAATGTGAGTTGTGGAAGGTTGCGTGGAGGATGGCATTGGGGTCTCAAGATGAGTCGGCTCGACAATGCCTACTTCAGGGCTGAGATAGGTTGCCTCGCACAGAAGAAGCCGTGCCCGTGCAATGTCAGGCTCGACGGCGAGACTGTCTATGATGCAATCACCCATGTAGCACAGGTCTGGAATCCACTGTGGCTCACCAAAAGCCTATGCAAGAGAACCAAAGGTCAGGCCAAGCGGTGTGTCAGCAACAGCAAGGAGGAGCCGTGCACCCAAGAGCAGGGTGGTGCATGGCGCGAATGTGTGGGACTGCAACGAAGGGGGTCGTGAAGGCTTACGCCTTGTTGTCGGAGCTCGGCAATAGCGCGCGGGGCAAGGTGTCGGTATTCCATAGGCACAGTCTGTTCACATGGCGGCAAGGTCAAGACAGGAGCAAGGCAACGATCATCCCTGGGCAAGGGGTGGTCGTACCGGAGGAACTTGGCGGTAAACCAGGTAGCCCAAAGAGGGGACGCGATGGTGCGTGGCAAAAGGTAGGATCTTGAAGCCCTTGACCATGATGGCTTGACCGGGCTGCACGGGCACAATCTACGAGGGAGCCCACGGTTGTCTTGGGCGTGAGGCTATAAACTGTGAGGGCCACGGGCAAACAACTCCACATGACCCGACAACCTTGAGCGGGGGTGGAGAGTCATCTCCGCTTTTGCCATCCAGAGTATCAAAGCCCTGTATGATACATTGGCAACAGGCGAGCGATCATTAACTTGAGGTTACTCATGCGGGCGCGGGCGCGTGGGGATGGGGGGATGAGTCTAGGCTTGGCGTGCCAGGTCGGCCAACGTTGGGTGGTGACCCGGGTGTCAACCCGTTGGGACTGCATGCAATGTACCTCCTTGAGGTCCTGCAGCAGCTCAGTAGCATGGGCAGGGACGTAGTAGGTTGGCGCTTTGCCACCCAAGCTAGTTTACACGAGCACAGTCCAGGGGCGCTGAGCAGGGCGCCCCGGGTGCATTTATGCAAGTCTCTGGAGCGGGCTAGCGATGACGGATTACGATGCAGGCCACACCTGGAGGCGCGGCAATGACTGATCAAGCTGCCCACATGATCCTAAGGCATGGTACCCAGGGTGAAGTCGGGCAAATGAAGCAACAGCATGCTACTGACTCCGACCGACGCTCACTACGAACCGTGTGGCAATGGGAGATGAACACGTGTTGGATGTTGGTAGCCCAGAGGGGCAAAATTCTGCCGAGGCACGGTGGCATGGTCCCAGGACAGACAAAATTTAAGTTGACAGGCACGGTCGGACAAGATGGCGATGCGGACACCGGAGGCCTTGTTTACCCGAGATCAAAGAGCAGTGAGAACTTGCGCTCTGGTTGGGTCACTCGAACTGTTGTAGCCACGCCTAAGCAGTTAAACAAGGTCATCATCTAGCTGGCGGGTGGAGAGGCTACGGCGTATGGCGATCCTGTCATTTCGTATGCATTGAACAGGTTCGTACCGGCCACAGAGAAGACGCGCAGTTCGTAGCCACACGCATGGATGGTGTGGTCATGAGGTGCAGGATTGCCTAATGACCGTTATGCCCACGAGCACGGCATTAAGGGGAAAAGACACGTGCATCTTCACAAGGGCAGCAACCATCGAGCCATGACGCGTTGCCCACCGTGTGCGTGTTGGGGCCGCGCTTGATGATGTGCTGCGCTCTGGTGTCCTCCCCTGCTTGGATGACCGCCTCGACCTCGGCCCCGATGACCACCACCACCACCACCGCCGCCGCCGCCTCTACCTCTCCCCCTATGCCCACCGCGTCTATGGTGTGACCCTTTGCCGAGGTCGACGGGGACCTGCTCCTTCCGCTGCTGCTGCTGCTGCTGCTGCTGCTGCTGCCGTTTCGCCATCCTCACACAAGCAGTCGGCCGTCAACGCAGCGTCAAAAGCAGAAGAGCGGTCGTTGTCAGACAATGTTCTGGGAGACTGAGAGTCTCAAGAGGACATTGGGAGACTGGAAGAGACTCAGAGGAACAACGGTCGCGGGTTGGTGCCTGTCGCTCCTCATGACGTTTGCGTGATGTCCAAGTAGATCTCTCCTGGGTCTGTTGTGGGGTTGCGCGGTGGGCGCGGCTGGTGGTCAACACACATGGCACACACACGAGATGAGAACGAATGGGTCGACAGAGAGACAGGAGATCATGTGTGACAGAGACAGAGACAGATTGACAGATTGACAAGTAGACAGAGAGACACATACAGCACAGCACCACCACACAGCAGGCAGGGGACATGCCGCCGACAGCACGGCATGGCACGGCCTCATACGTTGTGGCGGACAAGGGGGACAAGACCAAGAGGGTGTTTTTCGTTTTAAAGAGGACAAAGTGCATGTGGTGTCCCCCCCAACAATACACCTGACAACCGGCGAGAAAGATGCGCTGTTTGTACAGAAGTTGTTTATGGTAATGGAAGGACAACGATAGTTATTGTATGGAAACGTTGGGTAGATGCCGATGCCCTGTTGACGAACATACACATCGCCAATTTTTTTATGGTCAAACTCGAGTCACCTGCTGCTGCTACCGCCGCTGTCGCTGCCGCTGCTGTCGCCGTCGTCCGTCTGCCTGTCTGCCTGCCTGCCTTCTCTACCTTCTGCTGTTGTTGGGTGCGTATGTGTGTTTCTGTACCATGTGCTCTCGGTGGTCGGTGGAAGGGGTCTGTGCATGCGGTCATCAGGTGCATGGGGCGAGGCACACACATGAGTGAGGGTCAGTTGGGACCTCGTGCGGCCGGTTAGGGATGATGCCTGGCTTCTCTGAACTATAAATTTCGGCCGCATAAACGATCAGCGCCCGCGCCGCCTTGGCCGGCCTGGGCCGGGGAGGGCGGGGAGTTGCTGCTTCGGTCCCTCAAAGTGTGCTCGTGCCCCACCGCTCGCCCTGCACTCCATGACAAAAACCATGCCATCTTCTCGCGCGCCAGACTCAGGGTCTTGCATTGCCTTGCACTCACAGTCTTGTATCAACGACAGCTGGTGCGCGCTTCTCGAACCTGGCAAGAGGCCGTTCAAAAGGCTGCCCAACATCCCAGTGTGTGCCCACGCTTTCTTTTTCCGACCTTTCGGCCGCTCGATAGCTGCACACAGCCATGCTCACTTTTGGGTCCTCGCTCGCGCAGGTCCATGGCGACTTGTGTCATTATGGAGGGCTCGCACGCTACCACAACCGAGGCCACCGGGGCCGAGGGGCTTCAGAACAAGACCGCACATCAAGACCGAGCCGAAGAGCTTGGTTGGGATTTCAACGCCATCGATCGCAGCCCAGAAGAGCTCTGCGGTATCATTCTGGATCTTTTGGAGCAAAACCACGTGTGCGAAGTCCTGCAAATTTCCCGCGAGGAGCTTGAGGGCTTCATCGGCCGTGTCATCCCCCGCTACAACACGACCACCTTTCACAACATTTGCCATGCCACAACAGTACGTGCCCGTTCCTGCCTACCACCTGCTCGCCCGCAGCACGAAAGGCACCGTTGAACAAGGAACAGTCACGGCTACATGGCGACCACGGGTCACTCGCGCATCGGCTTACGCACCGCCTGCCCCTAGGTGCTTCACTCAGCCGTTATGTTGGCCAAGCACCTTGACATCAGCTCTGTGAACCGCCTGCAACACGTGGGCATGGTCCTCTCCGCCATCCTTCACGATATTGGCCATGAAGGCCTGACCAATAATTTTCACATCAACTCCAAGTCCCCCCTTGCCGTCAAGTATGAGAACCAGAGCGTCTTGGAAAACCTCCATGCCGAGCTGGGCACAGAACTGCTTCTTGAGGAACCCAGCTTGCTGCGCAACCTCGACCCAGACGAGCGCGACGAAGTGCTGGCCACGCTTCACACCTGCATTCTGGGCACTGACATGGCCTTTCACAAAGCCCAGATGGACATGCTCAAGGATCTGGGTGCTGGTAAAATTTACGAGGGTGAGGAACCTTACGAACGGGCCATCCTCAAGGCAATTATTCACACCGCAGACCTCTATAACGTCACCAAAACATTTGAGGTATCCAAGGCATGGGCTACGCGCCTCCAGTGTGAGTTCAACGCCCAGGTAGCCATTGAAAAGAAGCTTGAGCTTCCCTCCTTGCCCTTTATGGAGAGCTCAGGCCTCGTCGCTTTGGCCAAGGGTGAGATCGGGTTTATTACCTTTGTCACAAAACCTTGGTACGAAGCCCTGGCTCAAGCCTTTCCGGAAGTCAACAAATTGCCCCTCCTCGACAACATGAGTACGTAGCAGCCCAACGCCTTTGTTGACCTATCCCGCTCGCTCGTGCTGATGATTTGTTCTGTGGTGGCTTTTTTTTTTCTTTTGTTGTTGTTGTTGTAGATGAGAACGTCTCGAGATGGAAGGAGATTGCAGAAGCCATGGGCGAATAAATGACTGCTCATTTTCAAGGACGCGGCCTTCTTTCCCTCTCGCCTTCCAGTACCCCTTCTCTCTCTCTCTCTCTCTCTCTCTCTCTCTCTCTCTC